CCTCTGTGTGTGCCCAGAGCTTCTGGGGAAGGACTGTAAATTGGGCTACTATAGTGTTAGGCCAAGGAATGTTTTTACAAGGTGTATAACCTTCTTATTTTGCCTCTGAGATAATTCAGAGATGCCAGCATGGTCATCTTACTGATTCTCAGATCCATCCTGTATGGCTTACAGAGCCTGTAGAGGCTGTGGGGTATTCTGGAGAAATACTGTGTGTGTCAGTGAAGGATCTGCTCATTCTTTTTTTCTCTGACTCTAAGAGCAGGGAGCTCCTGATCACATTTAGTCTGCTCTTAAAGGGATCCGAGGCTCAGTTCTGAAAATGAAATCAGTCACATGAAAGATGTTCACTCTTCTACATGTGTGCCAGCATCCTGTGGCACAGGGGACAACTGAGCTGAAAGATTTCACTTCCTAGCATCTGTTAAGAGGACACAGAAAAGACAAAGAGTCCTTGGAAGTAAAATAATTTTATAAATTGGAGCCCATGGTTCACATGATGTACACTTTGCACACTTACACTTCAAATGTCTTTGTTGTGCTTTTTCAGCATACAGGCCATAATTTCCATCAATGAAAATGAAAAATGGTGATGCAAGCTATACTTTATGTACAATCACCAACTAGATGAATTCTCAGTGGTCTCTTTAGAGTCTCTGAACAGTTAATCTTTGTAAAAATCAATCAAAATAATCCATGACTCGAGTTCAGTTTGGCCAACACACCAAGAGCAGGTGGTTAAAAATATTCGGACTCGATGCTTTTCGCAATACAAATTCAGAGGAAGAATCTTTGCACAAATCCCATGATCAGCATCCCACTACCTCCAATCTAACAGTTCTGACTTCTTTCATCCAATGCCATCTACAAAGTCCCAACAGCAATGCTTTCGAGGTTTTTCAAGTACACATGTTGGGTGGCAAAAACAATATGACAAGAATAAGAAGACAGAAGGCTACGGTGAGAGAGTTAGCCAGCTGAAGAGGAGTTACAGGCATGGAAATGTGCTTTTTTGAACAGGAAGCTCAGCTTTAGGTGAGGTCGAGTTAGAGCCCAAAGAAGGCCTGATCCCGGAGCACAGAGCCTGAAAACCAGGGCAGTGGCAGCGGGTACTGTGCACATTCGCGCCCCGGCAGGGGCTTTTGCTGCTGTGGGTAGTTTTGATGCTAGCTAGCTTCATTTCTAATTTCCCAGCTCCCAGGCATCCTACATAGATTGCACATCAGACAACTGATGGAAACTTGACACATCTGGTGGACTTTTAAAAAACAGTCCTACAGTTCTAAGGCTAATGCTTTGTTCAAAAGCAGTTTAAAATGATTATTTAGTCCACATAACCTCCCGATGTGGTAGTACCATACTATGATTCCCACTCTCAATACTGAGATAGGAGAGACAAGGTTACGTGATTTGCCCAACGTCACACAACACGGCCGGCAACATTGGTCTCAGCTGAGTTCCTGATTTTGTCGGTCCTGGTGCACGGGGCACAGGGCAGCCTCTGAGGCATTTTTTTTTTTTTTGAAGACGGAGTCTCACTTTGTCATTCAGGCTGGAGTGCAGTGATGCAACCTCCGCCTCCCATCAAGCGATGGGATTCAAGCGATTCTCCTGCCTCAGCCTCCTGAGCAGCTAGGACCACAGGCATGCGCCGCCACGGCAGCTAATTTTTTGTATTTTTAGTAGGGACGAAGTTTCACCATGTTGGCCAGGCTGGTCTCGAACTTCTGACCTCAAGTGATCCGCATGCCTTCGGCCTCCCAAAGCGCTGGAATTACAAGCGTGAGCCACCGCGCCTGGCCGAGGCTTTTTCAAAACATGTTAAAGGATGAGAGGCACAAACAGCCCGCCAAACTCTCCCCTGCTCTCCCCATCAACTGCATGGGTTTTGCAAGGAGGAAAAACTCATATCCCGGGTCCTCTTACCAGCAACCCCTAAAAGGCGTCTTTATTTCAGAACTATGAGCAGTTAGTTGGGAAGCCTCCCAAGACCTGCCCTGGCCCCAGCCCACAAAGTGAGGGAACCGCACCCTTCCGAGGGACCAAAGTCGCGCCGAAGACCGAGAAGGTTCTTCTTTCTGATGGAAAAGCCTCGGAAGCCAAGCTGCGGTGCTGCCTGGCGACGTGCAGCCGAGAGGGAGCGCTACCTACCCCAACCCAGGCTGCACACTCGCCCCGCAAGGCGTGCGCCCACCCGGGCGCACCAAGCCGTCGCCTACTTTTAGCATCTTCCGCCTAGGGTCGCCGAGCCCTGGCGGCCGAGGAGGCGGCGGTGTGGGGAGTTCAGCCTCCGCCCTCCCCTTTACCCCACCCCCACCCCGCCGCCAGCCTGACCGGCCAGTACCCGCGGGCGCCCCGGGTTGGCCGTGTCACCCTCGTGGCCACCTGCCCGCGGCCGGCCCTCCGCGGCCAGTGCCCCGAGCCGCCCTTACCTGAGCCGGAGATGTGGACCCGGAGTGGGCGGCCCCTGCTTGAGGACGACGAGAGGTCGCTCTGCGATCGGCCGCGGGGGCTTGGGTCCCCGGGCAGCCAGTGCAGGGCAGGCGCCGGCGGCGGGGCAGGCGCCTCGGACTGGGGGACTGGGACGGCCACCGCCTGTCCGGCCGGATTGACCGGGAACCCCGCGGGGCGCCAACCCGCCTCGGCCATCGGCTCCCCGCGGCGGGGCCGGAGCACCGGGTGCGGCCGGCGCCGAGGGCAGTGCTGCCAGCTGCTGCCCTGCTCTGCCACGCGCACGGCGACCCGGAGGCAGAGAAGGGCGGGGAGGTGGACGCCGGGCGCCGAGGAGCCGAGGAGCCGGTGCGGAGGGCGGGAGGAGGAAGAGGACAGAAAAGTTTGCACAGGAAGGAGCCGCCTACAGCCGGCTCTCGCTCCAGTGGGCGAAAGCTGCAGGGCTCAGAGCTGGGCCGCCCTCGGTGCCCGCGAACCTGCCCGGCTGCTCCTCCCCCAAGCCCCAGGCACTGGCCCCTGGCAGGAGAGCAGCAGGGGGTCCCCTCCGCGGAGCGCTGTTCACCCAGAAAAGCCGAGTTTGGGCTTCAGGAGCTGGGATGCAAGGTCAGAGCTAAAGATATCATTTCCATTGTGGTGGGTGGGGGTGCCATGTACACATGTGTGAGCCGCCCTGTGATGGAGCAAGAATGATCATACCCAGTTAACAGATAGGAAACTCCGACGTGAAAATGCATTGCACTTGCCAGGTGGGTTAGGGGCAGATTCTGGAGTCCCTTGTGAAGTGAAGCCTAATGCCCTTCCCCACTCACACCCATACCCCTTGCCCTCAAAGCCCATCTCTACCTCTCACGGTTGCCCACATCCCTGGGTATCTGTCTGCTGGGTGTAGGGAGCAAAAAATAACTTCCCTCTACCCTTCTAGGTTCTTTGGCTGGTCTATGAATTAAATTGCCATAAGGCAGATTAACAGGACAAAGAAAACCCATTTTAATTACCAACGTTCACATGGGAGTTTCACAAAATATGAGGCTCAAAGGGTCAGATGATTGAAGCTTGTATAGCATCCTGAGTTACAGAAAAGAACAGGATCTTGGAATGTGGGGGGCAGGCAGGTGACACAAGTTATGGGAGAGTGGGGGGAGGAAATGGATAAAGAATAAAGGTTGTCTCTTGTGCAAATTTTAAAAAGCTGATCAGGTAACAAGGAGTTGTTTTCTAGCAGAAACATAGGCAATGATCTGTCTGGGCCTGCTGTGATCCCAGATTTTCCCATTCCTGACAGATGAACTCCTATTGGAGGATCTGTCTTTTTTTGGGGCGGGGAGGACGGAGTTTCACGCTTCTGGCCCAGACTGGAGTGCAATGTCTGTATCTTAGCTCGCTGCAACCTCTGCCTCCTGAGTTCGAGTGATTCTCCTGCCTCAGCCTCTCGAGTAGTTGAGATTACAGATGTCCACCACCACACCCAGATAATTTTTGTGTTTTTTCTTGTTGCTGTTGTTGTTTTGTTTTTAGTGGAGACAGGGTTTCACCACGTTGGCCAGGCTGGTCTCGAACTCCTGACCTCAGGGTGATCCATCTGCCTCGGCCTCCCAAAGTGCTGGGATTACAGGCTGAAAGATCTGTCTTTAGGCAGATGAAAGGAAGTTCAGAGAAAGCTCCTTCTTGCAATTGCTCTTCCCCAAGCACCCTCAGTTTGAAGTAACAAGTCTGCCAAAGCAGCATATTTGGGGGCAGCATTTTCTGAACTCCTTCATAAGTAAATACTCAAAGGTCATGTGTAAAAAGCCAGTCTTCCGAGAACTAAATAAATATCACAGATTTGATGTCTGAGTCAATGCTTTCTAATGGAAAGGCAGCTGCATTGATTAGAAATATCTTAGTTAATGCCACACCTTGTAGGATTTTGCAAAATGAGCAGTGGAGATTATGCTGATTCAGCTGGTGATTTCAAAACCTAAGCTTTATCAACTTCACAATTAGGCCCCCAAGTTGTGTCTTGCCCAGAATTAAAAGACTGTAAGTCAGGCTCGGGAGTCATCAGTCCTCTGAAAGTTCATGACAAAGGAGGAATGTCCCTTGGTTCACCCACTGACCATAGATAGCCAGTGGGAAGAGATGGAGATATGGGGGGAAAGAAGGTACAGTGCTAGCAATTATACCTGTTAACACACAAACCCTGATTCTAGGTGCTATGTCAGGCATTTTGCACGTACTATATCATTTAATAAGAGAACAAACCTAATCAAGAAGGTAAGAGAAAAGAGGAACAAAAACCACGAGTACATGCTGCAGAAGCACACTGATACACACAAAGGCCTTAGTAGCAACTAGGTCATGATACACACACACACACACACAGACAGCTCACCCTTGATCACTTAAAAGGGCTTTCACCTAGAATTCTCACAGGAACTCTGTAGGGAAGATATGATTATTCCATCTTTGCTGCAACAACTGTCCAAATACAGGCCAGACACGGTGGCTCACACCTGTAATCTCAGTATTTTGAGAGGCTGAGGTGGGAGGATCCTTTGAGGCAAAGAGTTCATGTCCAGCCTGGGCAGTATAGCAAGTCCCCATCTCTGCAGAAATTAAAAATAAAAAAAATTTAGTCCAACTGGTGAGGCAAGCCTCTAGTCCTAGCTACTCAGGAGGCTGAGGAAGGAGGATCACCTGAACCCAGGAGTTCAAGGTTACAGGGAGCTATGGTCATGCCACGGCACACTAGCCTGGGCAACAGTGCAAGAGCCTGTCTCAAAATAAAATAAAATAACGAAATTAATAAATAAAATCTGTCCAAATACAGGTCCCTTTTTACAAAGTCAGCCAATGTTGCCTGGTCTTGCTCTAAATATTTTCTACTAACAGTCTGTTTAAATTTATAGTACTCCAAATGTTGCCTTACTTTCTTGATATCTTGTGTAGTTTACGATAGGAAAACGATATCTCTGGCTTCAGAGAATTAACTATGCATTAGTTTAGACAATAGGTCATCGAAGAGATTGAGAGTGCACTGAGATAGATTTTATTGTTACCCTGAATAAGCAGCATTAGATTACAATGGCACTTCTCAGCACCGTTTGCTATCTAGTGTATTGTATTACCTGATGATGCTGTCTGTATTCCCTCAGTGAACTTCCTCAGCAGGAAGCTCCCCCTCCGCAAGCTGCCTCCTCTGTGGGGCACACATTCCAGTTGCCTATGCCTGGGTCTCACTCCAGTTGTCTCTCCCCATTGCTTACAACATGAATGTTCACATATTCTTCCAGACCGCATGCTTTTTCCTTCTCTGGTTAATCTTCTGTGTCCTTTCTTGTGAAGATACATAAATGAGGAATTAAATGCTTTCAAATACAAGAAGTCTTCTCTGACTCATTTTTCAGTTATTTAGCAATTCATCATTTCAACTTTTATTAGATAATTACATATTTGAGTGCCTTTTGGGACCACGCACTGTCCTAGGCTCACCATATCGTCAAGGAACCTCTCAGCCCTATATTCCTCCATTAATTTTCCCATGACAGTCAATCTTCTAGAGAGAGTAGCATACACTCTAGAGGCTATTCCCAAATTCTTACAGTCCCCCTTCCCTATTCATTCTTCTACCATCTGCATTATGACTACTGCTCACCCTACTGCATGGAACTGCTTTGGCAAAGATCACGTCTGAGCAGCTCATTGTCAAATGTACTGGGAACCTCTCAGGTCTTACTTAATCTGATGTCCTCTGTCACTTTTAACACTCTCGAACACTCACTCCTTTTGTGAGCTCTGCTTTCCTGATTTCTAGGACACTCATCTCCCCAGGTGTTCCTTCAGCCCCTCTGCTTCCTTGTTACCCTCTTGTCAGGGTCTCTTTTTTCCATCTGCCCTTAGGTACTGTTCCCCAGATGTCCAGCATCAGCCCTGTTCTCTTCCCACTTGACATATTTCTCCTGGGAGATCCCAGCTTCAGCTTTGACTTACACACAAATGACTCTCTCCATCCCAGACCTCTCTCCTGAGCTTCAGATCTCAGCATCTATTTGCTTCCTGGGCTTCCCTTCTTGATGTTTTATTGGCATTTGGCAGTCAACACTCCCCGAGCTGAACTCCTCCTCATCTGTGAACATGCTCTGTTTATTCTCTTAAATAAGTAAATATCTTAATACCTTAAATAAATATCCTCAGAATCGGTTTCCTCCCTGCTATTCCATTGCCACCTCTTCAGTTTGAGCCTCCATCTTCTGTTCTCTCCTAAAGGGAATCTCTGTTTCTGTACTCACTTTCTTCTACTCTTTCCCTATCCCATTTCAGGAACGATCTTTCCAAAGCGCTCACAAGACTTCCCTGCCCCTCCATTTTAATTCCCTCAAAACAAGTGTCTATGAATATACACAGAATAAAGTGTATATTCCTCAGCATGGCATTTCAGGGTTCTATACCTTACCCCAAACTCTTTCCTTGCTGCTATTACACATACTGTGGCAGCTCAGGACACAACACCTCAAAATATGACCGTAGGAGGCCGAAATATGCCACTCTGGGATATACTTCTTTGGCATATTTTGAGCAGGTTATTCTGAGAAACTGCAGACACAGGAGTAGCTCTGAAAAGCTGTCCTTTGGTAAAAGAAATTTACTTCCGTAAAGGAAAACAATTTTTATAGGACTCTCATCAACCAGGGAAGATCTTATCACAGAAGATGAGAATGAAGGTTGACACTTTGCCCAGATGGACTTCATCACAGGCTGTTACAGATTCTTCTGATAGGCTACTCTGAAACAACTTTTATGACCCGAGAGAATTTTTATCCACATAATGAGACAACCTTTGTTTGCCACACGTTTCCTCCCCTCACCCTCCCATGATGTGTGTCACCACCACTCCCAGAAGCACCAAGCACCTCTTGCTTTCTGTAGCTCAGGGATACTAAATGAGCTTCAATCATCTGGCTCTTCTTCCAGTCTCAGATTCTGTGGGACTCCTGTACATATATATACAATTAAATATGGTTTTATTTTCCTGTTAATCTGCCTACTGTCCATTTTTCATAGACTCAATTATCACACCCTCAGAGGGCAGAAAATCTTCCCTCTCTGCGCAATACTCCACTCTCTAGCCATATAGACCAATTCATCATTCGCTGAATGGCACCTCCTCCTCCTCTCGGGGTGCCTTTGGACTCCCGTTTCCTTTGTCTGCAGCATCATGCCCCACCTTCTCTAGCATGAACTAATTGACCAACTGTCATTCATCCTTCAAGCCTCAGGTCAAGCGTCTCCTCATCTGTTTTAGTTTGTTTCCTGTTGCTTCTAACAGAATACCTGAAAGTTTATAACGAAAATGAACTTTTCTTATAGTTATGGAGGCAAAGTCCAAGGTCAAAGGGCCACATCTTGGTGAGGGCCTTGTTGCTGGTGGGAACTCTCTGCAGGGTCCAGAGGTGGAGAAGGGCATCACATGGCAAGAGGGCTGAGTGTATTAGCTCACGTCTCTCTTCCCCTGTTTTTGAAGCCACCAATCCCATTCCCATGATAAACCCATTAATCCATGAATGGATTATTCCATTCATTAGGGCAGAGCCCTCTTGATCCAATCACTTCTTGAAGGTCCCACCTCTCAATACTGCCACGTGGGGGATTAAATTTCAACAAGAGTTTGGGGGGGACAAATGTTCTTTTTTCTTTTTTAATATGTATTTTGTATTTCAACAGCTTTTGGAGTACAAGTGGTTTTTGATTAAATGGATGAATTATATGGTGATGCATTCCAAGATTTTAATGCACCTGTCACTTGAGTAATATATGTGGGAATGAAAACCGGATATGTAGTTTTTATCCCGTGCTCTCCTCTTAACCTCCCCTTTCTGAGTCTCCAAAGTCCATTATATCACTGTCTCTGACTCTGCAGACTCATAGCTTAGTTCCTACTTGTAAGTAAGAACATACAGTATTTGGTTTTCCATTCTTGAGTGACTTTACTTAGAATAATAGCCTCCAGCTCCATCCAAGTTGCTGCAAAAAACACTATTTTGTTACTTTTTATGGCTGATTAGTATTCCGTGTTGTATATATACCACATTTTATTTATCTACTCATTGGTCAATGGACACTTAGGTTGGTTCCATATCTTTGGAATTGTGAATTGGGCTGCAATAAACATATACGTGAATGGGTTGTTTTCATGTAGCGACTCCCAGTAATAGGATTGCTGGATCTAATGGTATATCTACTTTTAGTTCTTTAAGGAATCTCCGCACTGTTTTCCAAAGAGGTTGTACTAATTTACATTCCCACCAGCAATGTATAGGCATTCTGAAGGGGACAAATATTCAAACCACAGCACCATCCAGGAAGTTTTCCTGACACTTCCCCAACCTCCAAGCCAGGTGAAGTGCCCCTCTTAAACAGCACCATCAGGGTCTTATGTCACTTTTTACATAGGATTGTAATTGCTGGGGTGCTAATCTGTCTCCCCTATTCCCTTTGAGCTATGTTAAGACAGTAAGTACTGATTCTTGCCTTTATTTTCCCAGCACCACTGTGTATCGAATGAACGAATCAACCAATGAAGTCTATTTGGGGAGTAGACATTAACAAATAATTACCTGGCAGTCCATGGCAACTGACAAAACTGAGATTTACGTAGAAGGGCTGAGGAAACTCAGAGGAATAGTCACCTAACTTGCTTGGGGTGGAGAATCAGGGAAGGCTTCCCAGAGGATGTGGCATCTGAAATGCAAAGGCAGCCCAGGATGAGGAAGGTCATCTGCAAGGACACAGAGACTTGAGGGACTGGGGCTCCTCTGGACACTGTAGTGGAGCACTGCAGAACAGGAACCCTGTGGGGAGTAGCTCAGTTTTGAACCTGACAAGGTGGACAAAAGTGGGCTAGGATTCACTTTTCAAATACCACTATGTCTATGCAATCCTAAAATGATTAGGCATCCTGTTTATTTGAGGTTTTGTTTATTTCCAGTTTTGTTTATCCTGTCCCACCTATGCTATAAGATTTCTTTTTCCTTAGACGTGTCCCTTGGTACCACGGACAACATTTTGGCCAGCACATAGTAAATGTGCCTATTTGACACTGATTTTTTAAAAAGAGGCATACAATACAGCTTTTCAAAGCAAAATGTTTCTAAACGCTATTAGTTTATTTAGCTATTTTCATTGAATACCATTTCCAAAAGGTTAGGGATAAAAACTGAAGGTGAAATAAGCATAGTTTTAATCACATAAGAGTGTTGTAATGCCAAAAGTAAAAAAAAAAAAAAAAAAAAAAAAACTGCACCTCACTGTTTTACCACTCTCTTTAAAGTGATGACTTACATAAGATTATAAAAGAAATAAATAAAAATTTATCAACTAGCTTGTTCCGCCCATTTGTGCTAGGAACACTGTCTTCAACAGGAGCCCAAATGTGGGCTGGGATCTGTCTCATCTCTGGCCAGTGTCTTCCTCCTCCTTGCTGTGCCAGGAGCCCCTCTTAAAGCCACAGTGCCACTTGAAGGGCTCTTTATACATTGCAGATTCACTCACGGAAGGAGGAATTTTTATTTAAAGACTTTGATACATAATGAAAGGTACCCGCATTTCTTAAATTAGACAAGCTAGGGAGCTAAATGACCCTTGTAACTGAATTTGTCCCTGTTTCATCATTAGTCATCTTTAGATGCATGAATGTGGACTTTTCATGGTAATGGAAACAGTTGTGACATTCTGGTTAAAATCAAACTTCCTGAAGGCATTCCTTGAGACAATACCCACCCCCTTCTAACTAATTATTTTTATAATTGCAATTTTCTTTTTGCTATCTTCCCCATCCCCCTAATATATTAAAAAGTTTTATTTCTCAGAGTTTATATGCAAAACATGCACATAAAAATATGGTATGTTTTCTTATGAAATATTTTCCTAAAATACTTGGCTTTAGAACTAAGTGTCTTTCACTGACAATAGCATTTCCTTAATATAGGCGGATAAAAATCACTGCAAGTTAAAGAGCAAAATATTATCTGAAAAGAAAGGGCAGAAATCAAAATTGACCATACAAAATGAAAATGAAATAAAGAAATGCAAGGAATCCAGGTAATAAACAGAGTGAGGATAAATCACCATCTGATAGTGAAAGTAGGCCTGCTTTTAAAGTCACTTAAAAAAAAGAGAGAGAAACAAAAAACAGGAAGTTACTTTTGATAGTCTCTAAGGCCTCTTCTGTTCTGGAATGTGATGCTTCTATGAAATTTATTCTTTGTTTTCATTTTAAAATCGAAGATGAAATTATTTTATGAGAGAGGCCAAAGCTGACTCATAGTTTTTGAGCCCACCCTACCATTTCCCTCTAGAGTACCTGGCGGCGTTTCCCTCTAGAGGTACTCTAGAGTACCTCCTTTACCATGATCTCTTCCTCCCACTCTTCCTTTCTTCTTCTTACTCTAAGACAAACTCATAGAAGTAGAGTGTAGGATGGTGGTTATCAGAGACTGGGGTGCTCAACAGGTCCAGGGTTTCAGTCCGACAGGAGGAGGCGTAAGGTCTGGTGCTGTATCTCAACAGCACGGTGACTATCCTTAATAATGTATATTTTGGAATAATGAAAAGAGAGCATTTTAGGTGTTCTCACCACAAAGAAATGATAAATATTTGGGCCAGGTGCTTATGCCTGTAATCCTAGCATTTTGGGAGGTTGAGACAGACAGATTGCTTGAGCCCACAAGTTCAAGACCAGCCCAGGCAACATGGCAAAACCCCATCACTACAAAAAATTACATAAAAATAACCAGATGTGGTGATGTGCACCTGTAATTCCAGAGACTCTGGAGTCTGAGGTGGGAGGATCACCTTAGCCCATGGAGGTTGAGGCTGCAGTAAGCCATGATTGAGTCACTACACTCCAGCCTGGGCAACACAGTGAGACCCCAGCTCAAAAAAAGATAAATATTTGCAGTAATAGATAGGCTAATTATCTTGATTTGATCATTCCACAATCTATACATGCTCTGAAACATCATGCATGCTATAAATATATGCAATTATTACTTGTCAATTAAAAATACAATAACACATAAATAAATTAAAACAGCTACTATGTCCTAATAGGCTCAGGCTCTGTGCTGGGCACACAGAAGTGAATAGAAATCTCTCTAATCTTGGACTAGCAACATAGGAGACAGGGGTGTACAAACTACAGTGGAGAGATAAAGGAGCGAATAGTTGGCCCTTTTGGGGTGAGTCAGGAAAAGTTTCAGGATGCAAGAAGTGGCTCATACAAGTGAGTAGGGATAAAAAAGAGGAAGAGGTAGGGAAGGCACCCCAGGTAGGGAAACTACCATGCATGCGGGCCCAAGGCAGGAAAATGGAAGCAAAAAGGAGGGAAGTGAGTATGGCTGGAGCCTTGGAGAAAAGCAGGAACGTGCTGGAATGTGAAAGAGGGCTGTAAAAAGATTTAGGCACAGAAGAAACATGATCAGCGTCACTATCTTTTGCTTCAGTTTTGATACCTCAATTTGATCCCTAAGTAATGCGTACGTTTCATTTGTGGTGTTGTTTTCAGGATTGAAATTCGTGCATATAAAGCACTGGGTGTAATGAATGGCGGGTAGTAGGAGCACAATACAGTGCTAAGACATTCAGGATACACATTCTATTTCTTTGTTTCTATAAATCACAGCTAGCTCAGGTCCTTCTACAAACATTGCCTAAAAGACATTTTCCAGGATGCCTTCCTTGTCTTGAATCAAACAGGAACTTTTGGGCTTATGGGTCTAGGAAGACAGGAGGCAACTGTGTTGATTGTTAGCCTCAGCGACTGCTGCTTCTGCAACTCTAGCTCTCTCATTGAAGGCAAGTGATTCACTAAGGACTCCTTCCATCCCTGCTAGACTCAGCCACGGGTTTTTTTTTTTCTTTTATATTTGTATTTTTTAATTGACACACAATAATTGTGCATATTCGTGGGGTACATAGCGATGTTTCAATACATATAATGTATATGATCACATCAGGGTAATTAGCATATCCCTTATCCCAAACATTTATCATTTCTTTGTGTTGGGAACATTCAATATCCTCCTTCTAGCCATTTGAAACTATATAATATGTTATTGTTAGCTATAGTCATCCTATAATGGTATAGGACACTATAACTTATTTCTTCTGTCTAGCTATAATTTTGTACCCTTTAACAAATCTGTTCCTATTCCTCCCTTCCCTCTACTCTTTCCAGCCTCTAGTATCTTCTGCTCTACTTTTTACTTCTGTGAGATAAACTTTTTTTAGCTTCCACATATAAGTGAGAACATGCGGTGTTTAACTTTCTGTGCCTGGCTTTATTTCACTTAACATAAGGTCCTCCAGTTCCATCCATGTTGCCTCGAATGACAGGATTTCATTCTTTTTATGGCTGAATAGTATTCCATGGTATATATACACTACACTTTCTTTATCTATTTATTTATTGTTGAACACCTAGGCTTCACAACGTCCTTTGAGTGGATCTCCAAGAAAACTCAGAAATCACTCCTTCCATGTCCTCACTCCTCAGAGATTGCTGGGGAGTACTAACGTGCCCGTCACTAAGATGCCAGAGGTCATGACCCCATTCACAGTCGGGACGTGGGGATGTCAACACAGCTGGGGATTGGGTCCTCCTTAATCCCACCCTCAAAACACTAAAGTCAATTGTTGGTGGGAATGCAAAAGGGCCCCTTTGGAAACTAGTCTGGCAATTTCCTAGAAAGTGAAAAGTAGACGTATCAAATGATTCAATAAACCCACTCATGGGTGTTTACCCAAGGGAAATGAAAACTTATATTCATGTAAAACTCTGAAAGCAAGTGTTTATAGTGGCTTTATTAATAGCCTCCCCAAATTGAAAACAACCCAAATAAGTACATCCAACAATGGAATACTACCCAGCAATACAAAGTAGGAACTACTGCTACACACAACATGGAAGACTCTCAGGTACTTACACTAAGTGAAAGGAGCCAGGCTCAAGAGACTTCATACTATATTGTTACATGTAAATGACATTCTGGAAAAGGCAAAACTATAGGGACAGAAAAACAGATCAGTAGTTGCCCGTTATTGGGAATGGAGGAGGGGATGACTCTTTAGGATAATGGAACTGTTGTAAATCTTGATTGTGGTGGTGATTACATAACTGTATTCTTCAAAAGTCAGAATTTTGTGCCCAAAAGATAGAAATTATGAAGAGAAGCTATGTAACTTCCTTTTGCACATCACAGGTCCCTATAACTCATGTGGAAAGTGTGGCCCCAGAGGGAGATATCAGGCTTTCTGCTGAGAAGGTGGGTGGGTGCTTCAGATAGAATTAATGAAAACATAACATAAAATAAACATGATGAACAAAATATCAAACTTTAAATAGACAGGATCTGACATCGAACTGGCCTCATTTGCTCAAACCTCATCCCAGCCTTGGCAAAACTTCATGTTTAAAAATAGCTAGGCAGACAGCTATAGTTTGAGTACTTCATTTTTTAAAACACTGTATTAAATTAAAGTTATTATTTATCTTGATTACTGAGGTTTTTTTTTGTGTGTGTGTTTCCTTCTATTTTGTTCCTGGGATGAGAGTCTCACTTGCCTGACTCCAGTCCCTATCTTATTTGAGTGATTATGTGGAAAGGAGGAAATAGAGACCCATTCATTTGAACCCCAAGCGTGCAGAGCAAGCCATGCTTGTTTCAATGATCACAGGTTTCAGATTAAGCCTGGTCCTCCTGCCTTCAGAGCGGCTGCCTTCATTTATACTAGAAGATGATGGACAGATCTGGGCCAGCAGAGACCTCTGAGTGAGCTGCATCTGAACTCTCCCACTCGGAAGACTCTGAGCCTTAGGCATGTTCCTGCATTTCTGAAAAGGGAACGATGCTATCCAACCTACAAGGCTGTTATAAAGACTAAGACATCATCTGCAGTGCCTAGCATATGGATTGCACAGTGGGAGGCACTTAATAAATAGGAAGTATTTGAATGTCTGAGATGCATTTTGCCAAAGTCACTCATATGATGAAAGGTTCATATTTTACAAAGTAAAGACAAGCAACATCAACAATAACAATGACAAAAACAAAACAGTATATTATCCACTTGGAGTTACAGGAGCTCCAGAGAAGTAGAGAGGGAGGCAGGGCAGGAACCATGACCAGAAGCTTTGTGGTTTCTCCCTCAGACAGCGTTCCCAGAAAAACAACTCTCTCTGTCTTGCCTAATTCTCTGAATAGGTGAACATTTGCATCTATAACAATATCCACATTCACAATGGGGTTCTAGAGCTCCTGGTTTAGAGAGATCAGATCAGAGAGAGCTCAAGTAAGGGGCATCACTGAGGCCCCTCAGACCCCCTGACCTCTTTGCTGTGCTTCTCACCTTCTCAGGAATGAGGATTGAATCTCAACCTTCAAAGCCTCCATACGACCCAGGGGTGACAGTTCTGGATCTGGCAGAAGTTCTTCTGTTTTGTGGCATGAGGATGGTCACTTGCTTTGTTCAGAACTGAGGCAGATGTTTCTCTCTTTGCAAGATCTGCTGTTACTTCCACTGGAATTTGCTAGGAAAGAACAAGGTGGCTGGGGCCAAGCTGACATCTCACCTAGAAGTGCTCGATTCATGTTCTCTGAGCAAGAGTGTATTAGTCCATTCTTATGATTCTAATAAAGACATACCCAAGCTGGGTAATTTATAAAGGAAAGAGGTTTATTTGACTCACAGTTCCACAGTGCTGGGGAGGCCTCAGGAAACTTACAATCATGGCAGAAGGGGAAGCAAACACGTACTTCTTCACACGGCAGCAGGAAAGAGAAGAGCAGAGCAAAAGGTGGGAAGCCCCTTATAAAACCATCAGATCTTGTAAGAACTCACTCACTATTGTGAGAACAACAGCATGGGGGTAACTACCCTCATGATTCATTACCTCCCACTGGCTCTCTCCCATGACACCTGGGGATTATGGGAACTAAAATTCAAGATGAGATTTGGATGGGAACACAGCCAAACAATATCAAAGAATATATTATGATCCATGCTGATATTAAGGAAAATTATTCTGCCTTGGTATGAGGTGGATTGTGAAAGAGAAGGACAAGATTTGCTGATTTATTCAAAACATATTTACTGCATGCTTACAATATACTGGCCCTCTTCTAATCAATGACTGTATTGTAGAGAGCAAAGTAGATAAAGTTTTGCTCTCAAGAGACTTCAATTCTAGAAGAGGCAGATTGTGCTGGGCAGAAAATGGCCCCTCAAAGACATCCACATCCTGGGCCAAGTGCGGTGGCTCACGCCTGTAATCTCAGCACTTTGGGAGGCCAAGGCGGGCGGATCACAAGGTCAGGAGTTCAAGATCAGCCTGGCCAACATGGTGAAACCCCGTCTCTACTAAAAATACAAAAATTAGCTAGGTGTGGTGGCATGCCTGAAATCCAAGCTACTCGGGAGACTGAGGCAGAAAAATTGCTTGAACTCGGGAAGCGGAGGTTTCAGTGAGCCGAGATTGTGCCACTGCACTCCAGCCTGGGTGAGAGAGCAAGACACCATCTCAAAAAAAAAAAGACATCCACATCCTAATCCTTGTAATCCATAAATATGTTGTTACATGGTGAGGGGGAATTAAAATTGCAGCTAGAATTAAAGTTGCTAATCAGCTGACCTTAAAATAAGATTATCCTGGTTTATCTAGGCGAGCCCAATGTAATCACAAGAGTCCTTGAATGAGGAAGTGGAAGGCAGAAGAGTGAGACCAGAGAGATGGCATCATGAGAAAGACTCAAGCTGCCTTTGCTGGCTTTAAAGATCAAAGGGTCCACAAGATGAGAAATGAGGGCAACCTCTAGAAGCTGAAAGAGGTAAGGAAACAGATTGTCCCCTGGAGCTTCCAGAAATAATGCAGCCCTGGCCACAGTGACTTTATCTCAGTGAGGCCCATTTCAGATTTCTTTCCTCAAGAACTACAAGATTATAAATCTGTGTTTTCAGCCACTAAGTTTATGGCAATTTGCTACTGCAGCAATAGGAAACTAACAGAGAACCAAATAAAATGAATGAATGAATGAATGAATGAATGAATGAATGAATGAATGACATAATGTCAGGAAACAGTAAGTGCTCAGATGAAAAAGCATGGCAAAGAGATGTGTAGTGAAGGGAGTGAGTGATGGGTGATATAACGGAAGTGATGTTTTTGAAAGATGAATGTGAGCTCCAGAGAGGTTAGAGGTGGGGAACTTGGAAATGGAGCCAAGTGATGTAGTCACATGACACGACCGAGACCCCCAGAAGCAGGCAGGGCTGGGCAGGCTCTTTCATGGGTCCCCCAATAGCCAAATCGTGGGGCTGAGTTGGTTGCTTTATGTTCCACACACAATACTCATAAGAAAGGTCTGGAAACAAAATTTAGTGCATAAGAAAAGAGAAATTGACCTAATCTTTTAGGCAACTCATTTGAGAATCCATTAACTTCTTCCCTTATGCACTTGGTCTAATCCAATACTGAGTCATTTCTTTGATTCATTCTTTTTTTTCTTTACTTATTTGTTGGTTTATTCACTTATTCATTAACTCATCCAATCAATAAGTATTTCCTGAGCACATTACCAAGCCTTGGGAGCACAATGGCGAGAAAAACAAATCTGGGCTCTGCCTTCATGAAGCACACTGTTGATTCTGCTGAAGGTTTAATATAAAAACATTAAACGACCACTAAGTTTGGCATCCACTAATCAAAACTGGCACTGGCCTAGTCTTCCTTAAAATAGCTCTGGTCCATTCTTCTCTCTGCAACTCCACTGCTACAGCCTTCTCTTACCTGGAAGAAATGGTCTCTAAAGGGGGTTTCCCCACCTGTGTCCAGACCCTCTGCCTCACATCCTCCCTCTGCAACACATCCTTCTGCAACACATCCTCCCTTCCCCACCTGCATCCAGAACCTCTGCAGCACATCCTCCCAAACACAGTCAAAATAGTCTTTTTAAGAAACAGATCTGCCCCATCACTCTTCTGACTACAATCCTTCAATGGCCTCTCATTGTGTACCCAAACTGATCCAAGCCTCCCATGTTGTGGCATATTCCTCAGCCTTCTGGTATCCTATCTGCTTGACTCCAGAAGGTGCTTGTGTCTTTCCTGCACTAGCACCCTTGCCCAAGCTGCCCTCTCTGCTTAAAGTGCTTTGCATTTCTTCCTAGACAGTCTGCTGGACAGTCTGGACAGCAAATGTGTAGTGGTTGAGAGCAGAGAGTTCATAAGCCCTGTGGCCTACGTTCATTTAAATCCTGGTTCTGCCACTCAGTATAGCTGAGTGACTTTGGGCAAGTGAGGCAACCACTCTTTGTCTCAGTCCCTCATCTGTAAAATGAGTGTAGCAATATGATAATAGAAACGATCACAGGTTGGTGAGGAGCCAATATATGTAAGTAAAGCACTCAGAACACTATCTGGCATACACACAGAAGCAGCTAATAGGAATTAGTTATTCTGTATCTCCCAATGCTCAGCACCTCTACCCTGCACACATTTCGATAATTGTGCTTTTGGTCCTTATTGCATTTATTGATTTTCGTGTCGGCTTGGCTCTTCTAGACTGTCAGCTTTTTAAAGTCAAGGATGGCCTCTGATTCATCCTTGAATCTTCTGGACTTGGCACATTTGTTAGTATATGTTAGGTGTTCAAAATTAATTTGTTGAATGAATAAATTTAATAAAACGTGATTTTTAAAAGAATATATGAAATAATTGAAAAAAATCTTGTTATTTTGAGCATGTCACAAGCTATTATGAAGTATATAAATCAAATGGAGAAATTTTATGTTTTCTATGTTTCCATAAATTTAAGATCACTTTTTAACATTTTCAACAAAAGAAGGGAAATCTGGGAAATCCTCATGTTTTATGTTGCTCAGTCACAGATTTTAAAAAATTCGATATGGATCTTACCTTCTAAAACAAACAAGGCTGTGCACTCCGTAATCCCAACTCTTCAGGAGACTGAGGCAGGAGGGTCACTTGAGGCCAGGAGTTTGAGATGCAGCATGCCATGATCACACCTGTGAACAGCCACTGCACTCCAGCCTGGGCAACACAGCGACCTAGTCTCAAAAACAAAACAAAACAAAACAAAACAAATAGCAGTTTTCAAAAAATTGTAATGAATGTTTCATTTTTATGATTCCATTTTGCTTCACATGCTGATGAATAATCTACATGGCTTACTTATTTTTTTTAACTAATAACAAATAGAAACTTACTTCTGGCAGTTCTGGAGGCTGGGAAGTCCAAGGTCAAGACACCAGCTGATTTAGTGTCTGGTGAGGACCCACTTTCTGATTCATAGATTGCACCTTCTTGCTGTGTAGTATTTGGGCTGTCTCCTGGGTCCTGCAGGAGCAATCTGCTTCCTTCAGGGGGTCTGTGGATTCTCTTGGCTTTCTTGGTATAATCCTGCAGTAGTTCTGGAGCAAAAATCCACAATATGAGTCTCCACATGCTGCTCTGTCCCTCTGAGTGTGAGCTGCAATTTAGTCCTGCCTCCTATCTGCCGTTTTCCTTCCCTGATTCCATGGTTTATATTTTAATATTTTATTAATAAAAGTAACACATCTTCTTTGGATAAAATTAGGAAAATAAAACACAGAGAATGAATCTTATGCAGATATTTAAGGGAGTCTTACTTTTTTGGGATGAGCATTGAGCAGTTCTGTAGTCAGATAATAATATGAGCTTTCCTGATCTTCACAGAATGAATCAAGTTCTTTCTGTTAAGTTCTCAAGTATCAACATCCATGGATACAGAGGGTGTTTTTTAAGGCAATGGGATGTGGCCTCCATCTAGAGACTTCAAGAGATTGGAGTCATGTGTATTAAACAGCCTGCCAAAGGGATTCTTTGGACAATTGGAAAAAGGTGTCTCTAGCTTGGGACCAGTCTGCAGGGCATGGCTTTTCTTTTCTTTTTTTTTATTTCTGTAAGTTTTATTTCTGAACCTTTAGTAACCCCAAAAGGCATGTGATTGTGTTAGTTTACATAAGTTTCACACATATTTCCTTTGCTCACTTCTCCTTCTGTGATAACCAATGCGTATTTGCCAAAAATCGATCACCATTTATTTAAAAATTATCTTTCTAGATACTATTATTTTTACTCAAGCTGCAATTAAATGTAAATATGGCATTTATGTTTCTGGTGTTTCTTTCTGCCAAAGAAAAATGCCATCAAATTAGAGATTTTGATTTGAATATAGGACTTCAATGAGTAATTGGAGACATTCTAGTAGAAAAGTTAGATGTGCAGACATAATTGAACTAACCAGTGTATTTCATTTCTATCAGCTTAACCATGGTAGTGTTTTTAGTATAATTTGCTTGCCTTCTTAATACTGAGTTCTTTTAGTACTGAACATTTATGAAGGGCACTATTGTTTTTCAGAATGTAATATATTTGTATAAAGCAAATGTTAAGTTTGTCTTTTTTTTTTTTTTCTCACCACTGCTCACACTTGCTTCTTTATTTTGACTACTGTGTCAGGATATGATCTTGGATGGCTCCATAGGTCTCATCTATGAAGCCTCACACGGAACTCACAGCAGTTTCTTCCTTTTTAGTCTGTGTCCACAGTGCTATCTTCAGCTACTCCAGTAAATAGCCTCCAGGGCTCTAAAATGGATAAGATCCTCTGCCTGCCTCTTGACTTTTCTAGTTTTCCTTACAGATCTCATTGTACATTGCTTTCATTGACTTGAACACCACCTCTCTCCTACCAGCACTTTCTCTCCCATTGTTCAAATGCTCCACACATCTGTCTCATGGCAGCACTTCATTGCTTGTCTCTATGGGTTTATTCTCTTTTCACATTGGAAGCTTCTTGATGGCTCAGTTTATGTCCTGTGCACCTGACCCATGTTGTTGGCCTCTGCCTGGAACATGCTTGCTCCCACTGTTTGCCTAATACATTAACTAATTATTGAGATCTCATCCAAATTTTAATTCCTCAGGGAAGCTTTCTCTGATGCCCAGATTAGATTGGGATCCCAGCGCTTTGATATCATTCCATGGTTCATGCCATGAAGTCCAGTTCGCAGTGTTATATTTAGGTGGTCATTTGTTTAATGTCCATATTTCCCACTAGAGAGTCAGCCATATAAGGAATAGGGCCGGGTCTGTGTTCCTGCCATTGCAACTGCTGAGCTCAGATCAGTACTTGACACAGAGCAAAGGCTGAATAAATATACTTCAACCTACTGAAATGAAGATGTAATTAACAAGTGGGGTGTCGTGACTTACGCCTGTAATCACCTTGGGAGGCCGCAGTGGGAGAATTGGTTGAGTTCAGGAGTTGGAGACCAGCCTGGCAAACATGGCATAACCTCGTCTCTACAAAAATTAGCTTGGCATGGTGGCACACATCTGTAGTCCCAGCTACTTCGGAGGCTGAGATGGCAAGATCTCTTGAGCCCAGGAGGCAGAGGTTGCAGTGAGCTGAAATTGCACCACTGCACTCCAGCCTGGGTGACAGAGCGAGACCTGTTTCTCACATACACAAAGTGAATTGGTAATTAATAACTGAAATAAGGAACTGAAATAATGATCAATGAATGAATGAATATAGTGTTTTCATTCACATAATAACCAGAGTCTAGGCGGCTTTCATCAGTTTAGTAGGATGGTTAAAAACCTGGGCCCTACACTATTTAGCAAGTTATTTAACTCTCTGTGCTTCTTGTCCTTATCTGTAGATTGAGAATAATAAAAGTACATTTGGAGGTACTTTATATACTTGAATGTACCTTATGAGGACTTAATAAAAGCATATATATATATATATATATATAATTCAGAACAGCCTAGCATATAGTAAGCACTAAACTCAGTAAGTATCACCCTAAAGAAACTACCTTTGCCTTGAATCATGAAATTTCCATGATCACTGCATCCAATCATTGCTATTTTAATGTACCTACCTTGGCTCACATACAAATATTTAATCGAATCTCTTTGTATATTTTTAGTGGTTATTACTCTGTATCTCTAAGTTCTCCAGAGCTGACTTATCCATCAGGTGTGGCAGGTGCAGTGCTGGCAATACTTGTAGAGACCCACACAAATATTTTAATTCCATCTAAAATCTGAAGGAGAAAACAAAACCTTGCAAGTCAAAGAAAATGTTTTAATATGTAATATTCATACATTCACCTGTTTACCAACATTGTTGTGGAATATACCTCTATGACTTTTTTTTAAATGGAGGAATAAAAGATCCATGAAGGCAAAGGTGCCCAGGGCCCAGGAAAGTCACAGCACAGTCTGGCAGTTCTCAACCTGCTCCTCTGCATCAGAGGCTTCACTCGACAGTGAAATGAAAGAATCAAAACACCAGTGTGACTTTACAACATATATACACCATCAGAATACATCATACATCATCAGAATACATACATATACATACAGAATACTTACCTATACATACAGAATACATCATACACCATCAGAATAGTGTATGGCAAGGGCAGACTGATGATTGAGAAAGGACATCTCAGCACTAGATAACCTTTCTATGTGGGTTCTACCCCACAAAAGTGTGTGCACCCATGAATAATTTGCTAAGTAGTGTAGGGCCCAGATTTTTCACCATCCTGCTAAACTGAGGAAAGCTGCCTAGACTCTGGTTATTATGTGAATGAAAACACTGCATTCATTCATTCATTCGTCATTATTTCGGTTCCTTATTTCAGGAGGACTCCTCTTCACTCTCTTTTTCATCCATATCTTCTTCCCCACTTGTTCTTCAGCCCTTGCCCATCACCTCCCCATTAGATTTCCTGCACTTGCTCGTGCTCACCTTTGCTAGTCCCTCCTTGGTTCCTCCTTCGCTGTCCCCTCCCCTGTGCCCCTGCTGGCATGCCTGCTGTGATGAGCTCAGCCTAATGCTTCTCATATTGCTTTGGTTTGGAGGTTTATTTTAGCATCTTCTTTTGATACTTCCTCCTCTTCCCTCTTCTCTTGTCTTTATTCATTATTCTTGCTTATGGTTTGTCTTTGTGTTTTAGTTTCTTTTTTATTCTAGTTTTGGGACACTCTTGGTTTTGAATTTCTTCGTGTTTGAATCTTTTTTTTTTCCCCAGCTCCATTCTCTGATGTCCTCTCTCTCTCTCTCTCTCTCCCCCTACTTCCTCTTTTCCTTTCTTTCTTTTTCTTCTTTCCTTTCTTCTTTTCTTTTTTCTTTTTTCTTTCTTTCTTTCTTTCTCTCTTTTCTTCTTTCACTTCTTTCCCCTCCCTCCCCCTCCCTCCCTCCCTCCTTCCTTCTCCTTTCCTTCCTTCCTTCCTTCCTTCTTCCTCTTCTTCTCTCCTTTTCTTCCCTTCCTCTCTCTCCTCCTCCCTTCCTTCCTTTCTTCCTTGTTTCCCTCTTCCTTCTTTCTTCTTTCTTTCATCTCCTTTCTCCCTCTTTCCCGGCCCTATCTCAGTTCTTTCAGTTCCTTCTTTCTTTTTTTGCTTCCTCTTCCTCTTGAGGACTTGACCTCTTCCCTCCCACTTCTAACCAGGGTTGTGAAAACTCCACCTTTTCTTCCAACTGGTGCAGCCCAGGGGACACTGTCTCCCTCAGCCATAAGGGCCACTGGAAAGGAGACTCGACGTGTGACTGAGACCTCATCTCCCTGAACTGGGCCTCCATGCACAGCCACTCATTAGATCATTCATTTTTCCCTGAAGACATTGGGAAGGAGAGAAGTAGAAGGCAAATGTATCACGTGTTCTGATGCTTAGCTGCATACTGGGGTCATTAAATTACCTGCCACTGATGACCCCAGTGCAGAGAAAAAGTGGCCATTTGTTTTTGTTTCTAGTCACCCTGCTTGCCTCAGCAGACAGCATGCTCCTCTCCCCCATGCACACCCTGGGTGGTTGGTGATCAAATTTAAATATTCTACCTGCATTAAACATAGTCAAATCTTGTCAATTAAACAGCATCTTCAGCAAATACGTAGGCTGTTCTTTGGGTAACAACGCTTAATATTGCAGATGCCTTCCCCTCCCCTGCTGCTCTCTAAGGTGGCATGGAGTAGGGGCGGGGGTCCTGAGGGGTTCTCCAGGTTCTGCGAAGGAACACGCCATCCCTGCCTCCTCTAGTCCTGGAGTGCTGACACCGGTTCTTTCATTGTTCCCAGATGAAGCCTGAAGCTGCTCTAATTCAAGATCTGGTCTGTATTGGGCTCCTGCCTCCCCACTCAGTTTCCACAGACAGGCAAGAGTCCTCTGAGGACTGTGGCTGTGAACCCCAGGTCCTTGGCACAGGAGGCCCTGGCCACAGAGAACCACTCAGGGCAGATTTCCTGTTAGGTTCTTGGCTAATTCTGGGTCCTGTTTGTGTCACTCGAATATCAAGGTCATTCCAGGAAAGCTAAAAAGCAGCCTCTCCATCTGTCTAACATGACTGTACCTCGCTACACTTGCCAGTTAGCCTGAGTCCTAATCAGGACAGATGTCCTGATTCTCATTTAGGACTTGAGACTAAATGGGAATCAGGACAGAAATGCTCCTTCCCATAGGCTCCCCTGAATTGATCTAGCACACACACGGTAATACTGGTTCACAGGTAGACTAGGCTTGACGTGGACTTCGCATGATTTAATTCTCACGACACACCTAGGAGGAAGATGTACAATTATCATTCACATTTAATAGGTGAAGAAACTGAGGCACAAAGAGGTTCAATGCCTTCCCCAGGATTACACAGCTCTATGGTAGAGGCTGGAGTGGGGCCACAGCCTGGCGGCTCTTCCCTCTCTGCTGAATCCCAGGGCCTCCTCCCTTTATTCTTCTCTGTTTCTCTTCCCTGTCCCCTGGTCTGAAAAAGTCGAGTTTTCTTTTATTTCCGCCATGCCTGCTCTTCTACCGTGAAGCTGGGATATTTACCATATAAAGACTGGATTGGGTTCAGTTCCTTTTGAACCTTTTCTTCTGCATATCCAGAGACTGCATTGATGCCAGCTGCCAGGCAATGTTTCACTTCTTCCACTGTCCACTTCAGAAGAATTCTGGGGACTGCCAAGACTGACTGGTGGCAGTCATCCAACTCCCATATGGAGATCTATCCAGAATGTGTCCTCGAGAGCCTCGCTCAGATATCAACTCCACCTCAGCAGCTAATCATATCCATGTGGACACACATGGCAAGACTGCTTCCTCTGGCAGCAGCAAGGAATTTGACCAGGGCTGGCCTCTCACCCTCTCCTGCCCGGGCACCTTGAGTATCAGCAGCTGCCCAACATGCGGCTGCTGGCCATGGTGGTTCCAGAAGGAACCATGTCTTCATCTTGTACCCTAAGTAACCTCAGACAAACAGAATCAGAGTTGACAGTGTTCCCCATCAAGACCATAAGTCCTTCAAATGCCTTATATGTGAGCCATGTGCACCTGCAGAACCCAGGGTTTTACTCAGATTTCTGGATCCCCTATCAAAATATTTAAATACAGTTTAAGCTTTATGAGGTATGATTCTATTGCTCAATTAGCAGTAGCTTCAAGTGCAAAGACTAGCTTTGTAAGGCATTACAAATATATAAAATGTGAATGGAATCTACAGCAGGCAGGTCTTTCCATAAAGGACCATGTTCTAAACAACTTCATAGATTTATTTCTTTCAGTCATTTCACAAATGTTTTTAAGTAGAATCTCTTTTTCCTCTTCACTTCCAGATAATACTGTTTGCTATTCCTTTCAAATCCTATAGCAATAGTTCCCAACCTGGTATACTAGGATTCTTATGTGTCCTGAAGGGCACTAAGGGAGGTTTTCAACATATTTTCAGTATTTCTTACAGAAAATAGACTTTTATGATAAGGTTGTACTTACCAGTTAAAAACATTTCTTTGCCTTCAAGTGAAATGACAGATGACCCAAGTGGCATCCATGCAGATCTGATTACCACTCTTTAACTGAAATATATGGAAGTGTAAATAATTCATAACATGATAAAAGGACTTCAGGAGATGGGCGTTTCTGCTATGTGGGGTTCACATGGGGAAAGGATGCCCACTTATGAGAGGACAGGGTCCTGCTGCTGCTGCATTGTCACCACAGTTGTGTCTACTCTCCCTTTGACAGTTCACAGTATCATTGTCACTGTGAAAATTGTCTTTTGTACTTATTACACAAACTTCTGATTAGAGAGGATGTCAAGGCATAGTGGCTGAGAAGCCCATGTTTTTGTTCAAGGGTGCCCCAGGGTTCAATGGCTACCGAGGCCCTAGATCATTCTGGGTTTCACAAACTTGATAATAAAAATTGTCATTCCAGGCACAGTGGCTCATGCCTGTAATCCCAGCATTTTGAGAGGCTGAGGCAGGAGGATGACTTGAGATCAGGGGTTCAAAACCAGCCTTGCCAACATGGTGAAAGTCCGTCTCTACTGAAAATACAAAAGTTAGCTGGAGATTGATGCCTGTAATTCCAGCTACTTGGGAGGCTGAGACACGAGAATTGCTTGAATCCCGGTGGGTGGAGGTTGCAGTGAGTCAACACTGTGACACTGCACTCCGGCCTGGGCAACAGAGCGAGACTCTGTCTCCAAAAAAAAAAAAAAAAAGAAAAAGAAAAAGAAAGAAAATTGTCATCTTTATCACAAACTGGAGCTATTGCAATTGGTAATCCATGCTCAGTGGATTCGTTGAGCCCTTTCTTCTAGAACACCCTCATTGTAAAAAAAACAAACAAATAAAACTGGGAACCCTTATGGTGGAGCTGTGGCCCCAGGGGGCCAGCTGGCATGTCATCAAGAGGAAAAATGCCCCTATACCTGCAGTGACAGCGCCCTCTGCTGCTCCCATCTCTCTGCAGAGATGGGATGGGATAATGCGGGCAACAACCACTTAGTGTCAAGTTCTTCACTCATTAGAACCCCAGTTCACTGGAGAGCTTCAACAAACATTTTGAGTGCAGCTTTTCTGCTGCAAATGTAGGCACTACAGAAAAGAAGGTCATTATGAATGCCTTCAAAAAGCTCACAGTCTGATGGGAAATCAGACCTGTACCACCTAGCTACTGGAGGATGCGTGAAATCCTATCTGTGCTTGGAAGGAGGTGTTATCAAGCAGATCAGGGAAAGTACAACATTCTGGGAGGGGAGGGTGGTGGCAGAAACCTTCACAGAAGAGGTAGCATTTGAATTGGCTCATTGAAGGGTAACAATTTCATGTGGGCAGAAGCAGTTGAGGATTGTGGCTTTACTTTGAAAGCACTTAAGAGGTGGAGGAGAGGCTGGGCTTGGTGGCTCATGCCTGTAATTCTAGCACTTTGGGAGGCTGAGGTGGGCAGATCACCTGAGGTCAAGAGTTTGAGACCAGCTTGTCCAACATGGTGAAACCCTGTCTCTACTGAAAAAGAAAAAAAAAAAATCAAAAATTAGTATGGCATAGTGGCACATGCCTGTAGTCCCAGCTACTTGGGAGGCTGAGGCAGGATAATTTTTGGACCCGGAAGGCAGAGGCTGAAGTGAGCCTAGATCACGCTACTGCAATCCCGCCTGGGCGACAGAGCAAGACTCTCAAAAAAAAAAAACAGAGGTGGAGGAGATAAACTTCCCAAATGTCCTTTTGATCAATCATTCCAAATTGCTGGCTTTTTTCCCTAAGCTTGGAGGTTTCTTAAACATTCATTCCACTGGTTTCACCTGTCTCACATCATCTCCTTGTTTAATGCAGTGGTTCTCAGGAAAGTTTGGCCCACCAGCCAGCAACATCAGAATTTTTTTCTTTTTTTTTTTTTTTTTTTTTTTTTTTTGAGACGGAGTCTCACTCTGTAGCCTAGGCTGGAGTGCAGTGGCACCATCTCGGCTCACTGCAACCTCCGCCTCCCAGGTTCAAGCGATTCTCCTGCCTCAGCCTCCGGAGTAGCTGGGATCACAGGCGCCCGCCACCATGCCCGGCTAATTTTTTGTATTTTTAGTAGAGACGGGGTTTCACCATGTTAGCCAGGATGGTCGCGATCTCCTTACCTCGTGATCCGCCCGCCTTGGCCTCCCAAAGTGCTGGAAGTACAGGCGTGAGCCACTGCGCCCAGCCCAACATCAGAATCTTCTAGGAACTGGGTAGAAACGCAAATTCTTGGGCCGCACCCTAACTGCTGAATCTGATGCTCTTGGAATTTCATCTGATACAAATTCAAGGTTGACAGCCACAGTTCTAACATGCAGGATCTTGGGAGCTGATACAGAGGCTGAGAACGATCTAGGTTGCTTTCCATGTTTCATTATGGCGAGACCCGGCTGAGGTTCCTGCCTTGACCTTCTCATCCACGCTTCGGACGTGTGGAGCAGCCACCAGGGCGGGCTGGTGGCGTTGTCCTCTTGGGCAGTTTCTTGGGCAAGGTCGTGCCTCCTTGAGGGCAGAGGCGCTGGTCACAGGGCCCTGACTCAGACTCATATTTCCCCTTAAAGCGAATAGAGCCTTAGCAAAGCCGTCGCAGCTGGCTTTGGGGTAATGCTGGCCTCCTTAGTTATGCTGAGCGATGCAGCCCTCCTGGGGTCATTCGGAACGCCCGGGAGAGTGGCCACTCCCGCCCCTGAGGGGGAAGGGTGGCCGGTTTCCAAGACCGGCTTGGTCAGGTGACAGCGGCGCGGCATACTCAGCAGCAGAAACGGAAGAACAGCGCTCGCGAGGCCGCGGGAGCCTGCAGAGAGGACAGCCGGCCTGTGCGGGAACATGAGGCCCCGGAAGCTCCGCGGGCTCGCGCTCCCGCTGCTGCTGTTGCTGCTGCTGCAGCCGCCGCCGAGCCCTGCCCACAGCTCCACGCGCTTCGACCCCACCTGGGAGTCCCTGGACGCCCGCCAGCTGCCCGCGTGGTTTGACCAGGCCAAGTTCGGCATCTTCATCCACTGGGGCGTGTTTTCCGTACCCAGCTTCGGTAGCGAGTGGTTCTGGTGAGTGCGCTCCTTTCTGACTCCTCTGCCACGCTTTTGTCCCCACCCGCAGCCTCCAGCCACCACCCAGCGGGCCAGGTTCGCCGCCTGGTGCTGCCTGCACCCTCGTCGGTTTCACCTCCCACTGCTTTACCTGCGTTTCGCACTTCCGGGTATCGAATATGTGGTTTCTTCCCTAAGTTCTTCTGCTGATGAACAGATAATTTTTCTTCCGTGTGACTGTAAGAGTTTTCAGACACACTTGACTCCTCAACTTCTTCATAGTTGCGCATTTTAAGCTGTAGTTATGACACTACAACATCGAGCTACCACAGACATCCATCAGTTTGTGCAGGGGCATCCCACGAGCGGTGACTCAGGCACAATGGCCCGTGGTTGCTCTGCTGCTCCCTGCCAATTTACAGTCGTTCTGCCATGAAGTTATGGTTAAAACATAGTCATGAGTATGTGAAACGAGTTCATTGAACACCATTGGCTACTTAATGTTAACATGTTAGCCATGTGTGGCTCTAGGAACTTTTTAAAGAGGTTCTAGAATGGTACTCTTAACACAACCCAATTATCGTTTGCCGTATGAAAGGTGCTACACAAAAATCTGTGCTTTAGATTTTACTTTGAGATCTATGTGAAAATGTGCATGTAATTTCTTAAACTGTTACACATGTTTAACTAAATGCAACAAGTATTAAGTTCTTCAAAATATAAATATTTTGTGTGCATATATAGATACATACACATAATATACTCTTTGTTGAGATGTAGTCTCACTCTGTCGCCCAGGCTGGACTGCAGTGGTACCATCTCGGCTCACTGCAACCTTTGCTGCCCGGGGTTCAAACCATTCTGGTGCCTCAGCCTCCCGAGTAGCTGGGACTACAGGCGCACACCACCATGCCTGGCTAATTTTTTATATTTTTTAGTAGAGACGGGGTTTCAACATGTTGACCAGGCTGGTCTCAAACTCCTGACCTCAGGTGATCCGCGGTGGCTCATGCCTGTAATTCCAGGACTTTGGGACACATAATATATTCTTAAGTAAAATAAGGGAATCATTAAACAGTCAGTATTTATTTGAATCAACTATATACTACATAAATAGTATACATCCAAATTAACATACTATATTTAGTAGACACAATACAGAGTATGAACTACAAATTATATTAACATTACATAGTATACACTGTACCATGCTCTACTGTAGGGGTAGAAAAATTACACCTCCATTCTGTTACGATCTCTGCTGGGTCCAAGAATTTAATTGACATTGTAGGATTAAATTGTGTGGGGAGGCTTAAAAAATGAATTTTAGCAAGGTCTTTACAGTATTCGACTTCTTGTCTTTGAAGCTTAGGATGTTGCCTTTCCTTCCAGTATAGAGAGCCTTTCATACTGGAATTTCATCTTCTGTCCTAAGAAACAGCACAGAGGTCAAAGTGCTCTTCATGCACCCTCTATTTTTTGAGTTTCTTTACCTTTAATGATATGCCAGAATAGCATATTTTAACCCTTTCATTACAAAGAGATAGACTACCTGGAACCAGTAACCTTTCTTATTGTTAGGTCAGTTTATGTAAAAAATAAAAATGGGTAAGCTATGGAGTATTATTCATATACTTTAAATAATTCAACTTTTAAAACAGAGACTCTTTCTTCTTATGCCAAAACATAGCTACTTCAGAAAGATGTTACAAATCTTTATTTGCATGTTTTGGGCTATAATGAATCTTGAGTTTATTTTGGAAATGTTTTAAATTAGTGTGGTACATAATTAACACACTTTCTTCCCCCTAAATTGTATCTTATATTATCATTTTGTTCAACCATGAAGATTAGGTGAAGATATATTGGTGCCAGCAGAGGATTTGATATTTGTTAACTGAGACCAGTACTATGCCAAAATAAAACAGCTAGTTTTGAGTCATTTTATTCTTTGCTATGAGTAACTTCATTTTCTACAAACAAACCCATGATTGTTTTGACCTAGAACAATAAAGATACTTCTCATACTAAACAAAATAGAGAACACATTCCTGATGATCTGGAAATGCATTAACCCTGTGAAAGATTCTTTAATCATCTGCAGTTTCCCTTTGTATCCTCTGCTCCTCACTCTCAATTTGACTTCTGGGGAATCAACAGTATAGACGAGTATGTGTGACTGTTCTAAATGTCTATTAAAAACCAAATATAAATGATGGACACTTTACCATAAGTGCCTCTTTTAATCTCTCAGCATGAAATTCGAGTCCTGACTGTAGGGGAGAGTGCAGGTTCCAATTAGATGATGCTAGGAGAAATTCCTTATTCTTGTTCAACTTTCTGAATGTCACGGTTTCTCTTTTGCAGTTCAGTTTAAAAGGTAATATCCGTAGTCCCAGCTACTCAGGAGGGTGAGGTGGGAGGATTGCTTGAGCCCAGGATTTCAAGGCTGTGGTGAGGTATGATCATGCCACTGCACTCCAACCTGGGTGATAGAGCAACGCCTGTCTCAACCAATCAATTAATCAATAATAAAGAAATAAATAAATAATAAAAACGCTTCAAGGATTTTAAATCCAAGTAAAAGGTGTAATGATAGGGGCTTATTATCTCACATAACAGGAAATTTAGAGGTAGTTGGTTCACTGATGAAGTCAAAGACACAGGCTCTTTCTGTCATCCTCAGCCTGGGGACTTGTTCCTTCATGGTCACAGGATGGCAGCCAGGCACCATAACTTCACACAACCTTGGCCAAAGGCAGGAAGGCCAGTGTGTCTTTTCATTAGGAGGGAAACCATTTCCACAGTCCTCGAAGTGTGGCTTTCCCTCAAGTTCCCTTGGCCAGCGTGGATCTCACATCCCTGTCGTAGCTGTAGTGGAAGCTGGGAATTAGGTAAATATGACTTTTGGGCAGGCAAACGTGCCTGCCACATAGTATGCCCTTCAATTATGTCTTCTTAGCAGAAAGAGTCTCCTGATCATCTTGGGAAATAAAGTGCTGATTATGGATTTGCTTATCCTGTAGAAGTACTCATATGAAAGAAATGGTGATAGAAAAAGCAGGAGGTGGGTCGGAAATGGGGGTTGCATCTATTTCATGGGGATAGTTATTGCTGTGTTTATCTAAAATGTGTAGATGTGTTTTTCCTCATGAAGTCTTGCTTACACAGTTTAGGGTCAATATACCATTGCTTAGAGTGAATGCATATAGCAAGTAATTGTTGAAAGTTGAGTCCATTTATTAAAATAACAGCATCTTCTTAATTTTACTTTTGCCTCCCTTTCTGTCCTGTGCCTCCAAAGTGTTCTCTACTACTGCATATAATAGACGCATGTTATGTTTTAAGCATGTAGTCTTCCTTTTAGAAGCCCTAGTCGCATATGTTACAAAGGACAATGTGTAAAGACACATACTACATGTTGTGATTTAAAAGTGAAGTATTAAAAGAGAATGGGGCTGGGCATGGTGACTCATGCCTGTAATCCTAACACTTCGGGAGGCTGAAGCAGGAAGATTGCTTGAGCCCAGGAGTTTAAGACCAGCCTGGGCAACATATGGAAACCACATCTCTACAAAGAAAAAAAAAATAGCCAGGGGTGGTGGCACGTGCCTATGGTCCCAGCTACTCAGGAGGCTAAGGCGAGAGGATCGCTTGAGCCCAAGAGGTCGAGGTTGCAGTGAGCCATGATTCCACCACTGCATTCCAACCTGAGTGACAGAGTGAGACCCTGTCTTAAAAAAAAAGAGAGAGAATGGGTAGCTGAGTTGTCTAGAATGCTCTAGTTTATGGGCTGAGTGGATATCACAGGGAGATAGGTGGAAAATGAGAGGGGGTTTTAGTTTGCATAAGCTTTCTTTAAAGCCAAGTCAAACTAAGGGGGAAGTGAGAAAGAGAATCTGGGTCCTACTGTATCTACGTGATGGGTAAATGGTAAGGGGAGCTGGAGCAGTTCTTTTAAATGTGTGTGTATGTGCTGTTTATGCACTCTTTCCTTTCCTCCCCTTAGGTGGTATTGGCAAAAGGAAAAGATACCGAAGTATGTGGAATTTATGAAAGATAATTACCCTCCTAGTTTCAAATATGAAGATTTTGGACCACTATTTACAGCAAAATTTTTTAATGCCAACCAGTGGGCAGATATTTTTCAGGCCTCTGGTGCCAAATACATTGTCTTAACTTCCAAACATCATGAAGGTAAGTCAATCCAGCGTATGGAAATTGCTGACAATGGTTAAGAAATGAAAAATTATTTTTTTTGGAAGAAAAAACTAAAGCAAGGTCTAATTTTCTCTTAGGATCAACCATAAGTGGTGACTGGCACTTGTTGATAACTAAGGGACTGCACTTTCAACCCAAATTGAGAGATGTTAGGAATACAGAAAGGATCATACCCTCCACATAACAGAGGAAAGATGGTCACATTTTGGCACATGTATTTTGAACAATATTTCCAAGATTTACGTAAAGCTGTTTGTTGAAGGGAGTGTGGGTTGCAAGTCAAAGTTCATCATTGGAATTGCACTTTCCTTCCCTTTCTCTGTAATGCATCCTGTGAATGCATCATGGGGGTTATACTGCTATAGTCTTGCCTCATTACAGCACACCTGGCTGCACTTTTAGCCAACTCTTAGATGGCCGAATTGTGCAAATAGTGGATGAACTGATAGTGACGAAAGTGACCCAGATCACCTGGAGGGAAAAGGATTGTGGAACTGTAATGGTTCCCAGAATAATCAGAGGCGGTAGAAGAATATCTAAACCCCCACACAGCAGTCCTATTTTAATAGAATGGATACTACCCATTACCACTGCAGTATTTGTAAGGCCAGGGAAGCATTAACAAATTGTTTTTGTTCCACTTGCTTGTTAATTCATTAGTTTCTTTCGCATGATCATCTTTGCCTTGGTATAAAAAAATTTGCAGTGGAGTGGTCGCTCATGCCTGTAATCCCAAAACTTTGGGAGGCTGAGGAAGGAGTATCATTTGAGCCTAGGGGTTTGAGACCAGCCTGGGCAACATAATGAGACCCTGTCTCTACAAAAACAAATACACAAACAAACAAAACTAAAAAATTAGCATGGTGGTGTGTCTCTGTAGTCCCAGCTACTCGGGAGGCTTAGGTTGGAGGACTGCTTGAGGCTGTAGTGAGCTGAGATAGGGCCACTACACTCTACTCTAGGTGACAGAGCGAGATCCTGTCTCAAAAAAACAGAAACTTTGCCTTATTGTTTTCTCCAGGGATGGGATGGGAATAGGAGAGGAGAACCAACACAAAAAATCTGGAATGATCATAGGATATTTTCCCTTTGGCCACATTCTGGTAGCTTCATGATTTTCTCCTGTAGATATTTCTCCTGCTGAGATGAATGTCTATCAAGTGTATTTGCTTGAGAACATGCTGATTTCCTGATGTCTAGGAACTTTCCCAAGCTGTATGGCACAAAACAATACATAGTGAGTTTATTTAATAAAAATTATTAATCAAACTGTGAGGAGAGATGATGTAGCCCACATTTATACATTTTCTGGGACCCATGTTGTCAGATGTTTTCCTTGCTTATGGAAAATGCATACTAAGCTCAGGAAGGAGTATCGCTGTGTGAGCTTATGGTGGTGATATTCAAATGAAGACTCATGTGGTTTTAGTACTGTCTGACATTAGGGCCTGTCAAGTTGAATAATTTTGAATATGACTTTAGATATCAACACTGCTCTGAAGCTTACCATAGACATGACAGGAACAAGAGTGAGCTGTTTTTAAAAGCTTATTAAAATGAATCTAAGGCTAGGTGCAGTGGCTCACATCTATAATCCCAACACTTTGGGAGGCCAAGGAAGGAGGATTGCTTGAGGTCAGGAGTTTGAGACCAGCCTAGGCAGCAAAGTGAGACCCTGTCTCTGAAAAATTAGACAAAATTAGCTGGGCGTGGTGGAGTACACCTGTAATCCTAGCTACTGGAGATGTTGAGGTGGGAGGATCACTTGAACCCAGGAGGCTGAGGATGCAGTGAACCAAGGTTACACCACTGCACTCCAGCCTGGGTGACAGAGCCAGAACCTGTCTCAAAAAAAAAAAAAAAATCCGAAGTATGAGTCAATCTTAGACTTGTTCTAATTTATCAAGAGTAAAATGTTTCACCAAATGTACCTTATAAATGTCTATTCTTAAAAATTCTTTTAGATTTTAGTGGAATAGTAACAATGTAGTTAAGTCTCTAGGTACTGATAAAATTTTTGAGGCTTTCATATTTACTATGTTTTAAGTATTTCAGTTTATATATCTCTTCTAACATTTTTATATAGAACAACCAGTAATCTAAATGCAAATGCCTGTTAAAAACGAACCACTTCTAAGTGCTTGTATAAAAGTATATATTGTTTTTCTTATCTATAAGATAAGAAAATAGTTGGTAGACTATTTGCTTTTGGGTAATTTTATTAAAGAGGAAAGTCCAAGCTTATGATTTTATAGTAGGATGACATTACATGTGGTGAGTATATTTTAAAGTATAGAACTATTGGGAAATAGTAGGGTTTTTTTTGCCCCTCTGGTTAAATAAATAATCAGGCTAAAAGAGATTTGCTATACATGGATCACCAGTGTTCTAAGAATCACACTATAATAGAATAAACAATCCTAAAACTAAGCAGTAGACTTCAAACTTTGGTTTAGAAGACACTAAGAATCTTGCAGGAGTGCATCTCAGGATCTTCATAATAAATAGTAGTAGTCATCATTTAGCATGGTACATGTATATGTTCCCATTTTAGTTGTGGGCTGCTATTGTTGATTGTTTATTTTGTGCTATACCTTGTGCTAGCAGTTGGCTGAAGACATAGCAGGGAGCACTGCAGACATGATGAGATCTCTCAAGGACCTTACAATCTAAGAGGGAAAATACTGGAAATAGATCAGACCACACAGTGATAAACCCCGAAAGTTGCTTTTAAAAACCTCAGTCTCACCTTGTTTAAATTTTCTTTTCTCATATAAAAGCACGATATATGCCATGAGAAACTGGCCATAAAGCAGTCATTTGTAGGAGCAGGTATTTATACATCGCATGTACTATGTGATTTGTTTGGGCATTTGTGTGGGTTGAAATTTACTAAAATAGACATGCTTACAAGGGTTTTCACTATAATTTTCTAGGTTTTACCTTGTGGGGTTCAGAGTATTCATGGAACTGGAATGCCATAGATGAGGGGCCCAAGAGGGACATTGTCAAGGAACTTGAGGTAGCCATTAGGAACAGAACTGACCTGCGTTTTGGACTGTACTATTCCCTTTTTGAATGGTTTCATCCGCTCTTCCTTGAGGATGAATCCAGTTCATTCCATAAGCGGCAATTTCCAGTTTCTAAGACATTGCCAGAGCTCTACGAGTTAGTGAACAACTATCAGCCTGAGGTTCTGTGGTCGGATGGTGATGGAGGAGCGCCAGATCAATACTGGAACAGCACAGGCTTCTTGGCCTGGCTATATAATGAAAGGTGTGTATGCTATGAGATTGCTGCAGTTACCCTCCATATTCCTAATATATTTCTAACATTTTCATTCCTTCACCTCTTGAAATATTTCATTTTAAGTCATTGGTGGCATGGGGGGAGAAAATCATTTTACATAATACGTATTAGATATATTAGTATTTACTCAACATAATCAAGGGTAAATAAATCAGGAGTAAAATACAACTCAATGGTCTGATTTTGAGATCAGACTAAAAATCACAGGATCAGGAACTTTGAAGGTGTTAATTTTGTGGGTCCCCCCTTTTTCTTTCCTACCCTGGTCCTTTATGGCCTCTATTCTGGGACAACTCTGTTTCTTCATCACTATTTCCAATTATGTGCTTCCGAATCCCTCTGACTGCTTCTTTTTATCCTCTTACCTTTTGGTCATCATTGCTGCCCAGCCAATGTCACCCTTGTTTGTCTCCTCTTTTCCTTCATCAGCAGCATTTTCCCTTTCTCCAGTTTTTTCCTATTGCTTCCTGCTATGTTCAAGGCTGCCCTATTAGAACAGGGAGTTCTGATTAAACTCCTCCATTAGGCTTAACCTATATGGACAAAATTTGCATGTACACTAGAAAGCACTGGGTATTGTGCTATTAAGTCAGGCAACCTTCTGCTTGCACTTCCTGGGCCCACAAAGGGCACAAATACAAATATTCTGAAGAACTCTTGATACTGAAAACAGCAATGTGTCCAGGTACTCCTTCCAAGGGAAAAGATGGGGAGCCATCACTTCAATTTGTGACTCAAAACTGTCCCCTCTATGTGGTGTGGATTTCCCTCTAAAATGTGCCACGTGCTATGATAAGTAACGTTGTGGGGATATTTCACATGACATCAACGGTTGAATTTTCTGAGATTTTTCAATATTAGGCACAATGGTAAGAGAAAGAGAAAGGCTAGACTACATGTATGAGATCACTGAATCATTGAAAAGTGTCTTGGGTATAAATTCAGTTTCGGCTATCATTTACAATATGGAAGGGAGCTTAAAATAATCATAATACTCTTATGAGTGCTATATGTGCTGGGTACCAGGCTAAATGTTTTACATAACTTATTTTTGTTCTAATCATAGATGAGGAAATTCATTATTCAGAGGAGTCAGGTAACTTGCTCTAGGTCTGGGAGCTAGAAAGTGACAAAGTCAGAACTCCAATCAACCCAGGTCTGTTTGACTTAAAAACCACGGGCTTTCCACTGTACTATGCCATGGTCCCTTTTCAGAATTCTATTTCAATTACAAGTCTTTTCAGTGACATTTCTTTTGTATAAAAAGCTTATACCTTTTGTTTTAAAAAACTGTATGTTTCATTTCAGCCCAGTTCGGGACACAGTAGTCACCAATGATCGTTGGGGAGCTGGTAGCATCTGTAAGCACGGTGGCTTCTATACCTGCAGTGATCGTTATAACCCAGGACATCTTTTGCCACATAAATGGGAAAACTGCATGACAATAGACAAACTGTCCTGGGGCTATAGGAGGGAAGCTGGAATCTCTGACTATCTTACAATTGGAGAATTAGTGAAGGTACAGTAAAATGTCTGGTGACTATTAACATAATATTCTTAATAGTGTGATCATATAGGATTTATTTCTTATGTAGCTCAATGGCCTATAAATATAGGACATTGTTCTATCCTGTGTTTGTTCTTCTAGGTAGTGACTATCTATACATGTATAAATATATAAATGCAACATATTAGCACATTAAATATGGAATTATTTTATTTATCTAAAAACATTTATTCTTAATTTTTTAGCAACTTGTAGCAACAGTTTCATGTGGAGGAAATCTTTTGATGAATATTGGGCCCACACTAGATGGCACCATTTCTGTAGTTTTTGAGGAGAGACTGAGGCAAATGGGGTCCTGGCTAAAAGTCAATGGAGAAGCTATTTATGAAACCCATACCTGGCGATCCCAGAATGACACTGTCACCCCAGATGTGTGGTAAGTCATTCTTGTTACCAAGTACTCTTTTATAAAGGAAGAGATTTAAAATTTATCACACATATAAAGAAGAGTAGGATAAAAAGAGAAATTGGATGAATTCTTACATATACAAAGCACTTTCCAAACTTAGCTTACTCTAATATAAAGAGAAGAGGAAGAATTTGCATGTTTTTGAACGTTTATTGTTTATCGGATTAAGCTTACATCATTTCTAGGTATCTCCCAGTGGTGGACAAATTTTGGCTGAAAGTACTCAGCTTTTAGAAAAATTGTAAGCCGTTCAGACCAATGAAAAAATGCGAATGGTTAGTCTAAAACAGAGACTACTGTTTAATCAGTTCCGTAAATTCTAACTTTTGCAGATGTTGCATCCCATGAAATTTGCAAACAAAGGTACCCAAAGGCAGAGAAAATGTTAGATTAAAAATGAGTCAAAATAGGGAGGGTTCTGGGAAGATGCTTCTCTCTGAGTTTGGGGAGGTTCTGTGTGTCAGTGAGTTCCTGAATCAGATTCCACAAATATGACAGTTTCTGATACGGTTTCTTAACATATATAAAATAAGAGGAGTATTGGTGAAGTTCTAAAAATTCACTTTCAGTTGCCTGATCAAATAGGAACCGAAAAATTAGACTAATTGTTCTTCAATCTACTTGACTTACGACTTAAAACATTAACCCATTGAATAAAATGAAGTAAGGCAATCTGGACAGAGCAAATAATTGTGGAGTTTTAAAATGTTGATCTGGGAGGAGCCATAATGAGAACTCAATACCAAGCTCTCATGTAACAGAGGATAGTGCAAATCTGGTTTTGGAATTTGCTTCTGTACTGACATTTGAATACGAGGGCATCTGATCTAGGACTTCACAATCATTAACCATTATTCCATTGTGTTTATTTCAATAAATAAACATAAAAGCTAAATATTTAATGTGGCTTATAAAGTTGTGAGTCTGGCTCCTACCAACTTCCCCGACGCTGAGTGTTCCTGCTCTCCCTCCTCACCGTAGGAGCCTTCTTCCCCCGAGGTTCATCATGCCCATCTTCTTGCAGTCACCTACAGACTCCCAGGTCAACCCTTTAAATCCTTCGAGAGAGTAGCCCTGGCTTGCTGTCCCTGTCCCCAGAACTACTCTTCACATAATTCTTAGTGATTTTAATTTCTATTCACAGTTCTAATTACCTGCACTTCCTGTCTTCTAGGGATCTTGTCTGCTTGACCTTTGTTACCTGTTCCTTTGCATTATCAATATACAAGGTCATATTGGTAATGCAAAGTAGAACTTCTTACTCAGCACTTCCACTTGGATGCATAGCATCTTAGACCTGTATGTCCACAGCTGAAGTCCTGAGTTTTAAAATTTTGCTGTAGACTAGCTCCACCCACGGTCTTCCCTATCTCAGTTAATGGCAGCTTTATCCTTTAGGTGGTTGTCAGGCCAAAAGCCTTGGTGTCCTTAACTTCCCTTTCTTTTATAATCATACTTTAGACTTTGCATTACCAATAACTGCACCCCTTCCATGGCTCCAGTTTGAAGCATTCTGCCGTCTACCTACGACTTCTTATATTTTGGCTCACTCCACACAGCACTTTGGCTTCCAAAGGGATCTATAATCCAGGGATTACACTATCTTTTAATCCTATCATCTTTTCTCTGTCTGTCTTTTTCCTTATCCAGAACAGATTCTGTGGCCTGTCACTGTAACTAATCTATTGCATATACCCAACTCCTGAACTCTCGCTCCCTCTGCCATACTCACTTGACAGAACATCAACTTTAAATTAAGATCTACTTATTCTATGCCTGCTCCTGGACAGCTAACTGTAACTATGGAAACTCACACACACACGCACCCAGACACATACAATGTAGAATTATCTCACCTTTGGTTTTAAGGTCAACCCTTGTGTCCTGATCCCATTGCAAATCATCCACCCATTGCAAATTCTCCCCTTTCACTCAATTTCACTTGTATTTCTAGCTACCTTCCCATTTCTCTCCTTTCCTTTGTAGTAAAACATGTTGAAAGAATTTTCACTTGCTATCTCCAATTCCTTGCTACAGTTTTTCTCTTGAACCCACTCTGGTCGAGCTTCCACCCCCACACTCCAAGATTGCTCTTCTCAAGGCCCACAATAACCTCTGCCTTTCCAATTCCAGTGATGAGTCCCCAGTGCTCATTTTCTTAACTTACTGGCAGCGTCTGCCTCAGTTGATCACTGTCTCTCCTGGTGTTCATTGTACCTGTTGGCTCTTCCTTGTTAGTTAGTTCCTCTCCTGATTTCATCTCATTTTTCCAACCTCTAAATCTTGAAGTGCCTGAGGTTTAGTCTTCAGATTTCTATTCTTCTCTTTTTTTTTTTTTTTTTTTTTTTGTGAGGGCACTGGCGTGATCTCGGCTCACTGCAACCTCTGTCTCCCAGGTTCAAGCTATTCTCCTGCCTCAGCCTCCCGAGTAGCTGGGATTACAAGTGTCTGCCACCATGCCTGGCTAATTTTTTTGTAATTTTAGTAGAGACAGGATTTCACCATGTTTGGCCAGGCTGGTCTCGAACTCCTGGACCTCAGGTGATCTACTTTCCTCAGCCTCCCAAAGTGCTGGGATTACAGGCATGAGCCACCGCATTTATCTTAATGTCCCAGGTGATCTTATCCATTTTCATGGCTTTAAATGCCATATTGATGACCTCCACATTTCTATTTCCAGTGCAGACCTCTTTCTGAACTCCAGCCTCATTAAGTTCCTACTCAATATTTCCACTTGGATGCATAGCATCTTAGACCTGTACATCCAAAACTGAAGTCCTGAGTTTTCAAATTTTGCTATCAACTAGCTCCACCCATGGTCTTTCCCATCTCAGTTAACAGTAGCTTCATCCTTTAGGTGGTTGTCAGGCCCAAAACCTTGAAACCCTTAGTTTCCCTTTCTTTTATAGTCACAGGCAACTCATTAGCAGATATCATCCTCTATCTTTGAAATATATTCAGAATCTGACCACTTCTCATCCTCTCTGTGGCAACCCTCATCCTTTTAGTTTCCATTGTCTTGTCCCTGTCTGGATTATTTCAGTAGCGTCTTAACAGGTCTCTATTTCTACCCTTTAACCTATTCACCACAAAGCAATTAGAGTATACTTTTAAATAATAATGCCACTCCCATGCTCACATTTCTCCAATGGCTTCCAGTCTCAGAGAGAAGGCCAGGTCCCATAGATGCTTACAAGGGCCTACAAAATCTGGCTCCTTATCGCCTCTTTGATCTTATCTGCTATCACCCTCCCCCACTTCCTCTCCTTCAGCCACTCTGCCTTCCTTGCTATTGCATCAACAGGCAGAGCACACTTGCACTGGGGCTCCTGCACTTGACATTCTGTCTGAAGGCTTTCTCCAGACTCTCCTGTGGCACTCCTATGGCGCTCCCATGGTTCTCTGCCATGCCACCTCTAAGAGGTCTTCCCTGACTATTCTACTTAAAATAACACTCCCAGGCCCCTCCTTTCCTACCTAGCATGCCCTGTTCTTCTTACCTGGTTTGTATTCTCCATAGCATTTAATGAACACCTGACATATTTGTTCATTCTAATTTCTCCCATTGGAATGTAAGCCCCATGAGGACAAGGACTTTGTTCAATGCTGTATATTGCTCTAAAACAGTGTCTAGCATTTTAAGATTTCAATAAGTATTTGTTGAGTAGTTGAATAAATGAATGAATTCCATTTTTTTTTTTTTTTTGTCTACAGCATACTTCCCTTACCTTCTTCTTTGTTCCCATTCATCCTCCTTTAAGTCTCAGATTAAATGTCATGTTCTTGGTGAGGCTTCTTTCTGATGTTCTAATCTAAAGAGATCCTTTTGTTACAATCTCTCAATTTCCTTTTCTTTCATAGTGCTTATCAGAACTCACACTTTCATATTATTTGTGTGATTATTTAGTGTTTGCCTTCCCCACTGTAGTCTAAGCTCCGTAAGAACTATGTGTGTTTTGTTTTTTATTGTAACCCTAACACTGAGCACAGTACTAGGCACAGAATTGACACATGCATATCTTGTCTTGTTGAATGAATGGATATAAAAATTTGAATAACACATGAAAAGCCGTGAAGCTCTTGCATCCTGCCCCCTTAGCTCATCTGCCTCCCCTTTTCAGATCCATGAGAGCAGTCTGATGAAGAGGAATGCTATCTCAGCAAAATCTTTGTCTTCCAAGAACTTCCTTTTGGTCTTGGGGGAGGAAGGTGCTTTTTTATACCAACATGGGGCTATTTTTCCCTCCCTTCTATTAATGGCGACACTGTGGAAGTATCTCTGTAAAAAAATTCCAGATCGTTCCTGATCCATAAATAATGAGAAACATGGGAGGTAACTTGTTACTACGCTTTTTATCTTTTTCTTTTAACCAGGTACACATTCAAGCCTAAAGAAAAATTGGTATATGCCATTTTTCTTAAATGGCCCACATCAGGACAGCTGTTCCTTGGCCAGCCCAAAGCTATTCTGGGGGCAACAGAGGTAAGAGGGAACTTTATCTTGCTCCTTTAAATTGCTGATTAGAACATCTTGATGCAAACATAACTTTTAACTTTAAGGGGAGCCTTATATCTGTTTCTCTTATACCTCATAAAAGTAATTATAAATGAGCTCCAGCCAAGCAGTGAGGCTCACACTGTAATTCCAGCACTTTGGGAAGCTGAGGCAGGAGGATGTCTTGAGGCCAGAAGTTTGAGACTAACCTGGGCAACATAGCAAGACCCCTCTTTACAAAATTTTTTTTAAAAGCTAGCTGGGCATGGTGGCACGCACCTGTAGTCCTAGTTACTCAGGAGGCTCAGGCAGAAGGATTGCTTGAACCCAGTAAGTCAAGACTACAGTGAGCTATCAGTGTACCACTTCAGCCTGTCTCTGAAAAAATAAAATAAAATAAAATAAAATAAAATAAAATGAATTTCACCAATGACTGTGTTTGGTCAAAATCTTTGAAACTTTTTGTTTCCCAGAAAACTAAGCTGATAAAGCAGCTACAGTATCTCTATGCATATCACTGTAAAATAGACATTATTCTTTACAGTCATTCTATGTTGTTCAAGTTCATTGCATGCATACAAAATGATTCTTCTCATAAAACTAGAATTCGGATGCTTTCCCTGACACCCCACCCCAGTACGTATCTGAATACAAGATGTCATGACTCTACTATTTTATGTTTATAAAACATTTTGGAGAAAGTTAGAGATTAATCTAACTGTTGTAACCACCACATCTGACATTGAGTTCATTCTGATATATTTTATAACTTATTTTTTTTAAATAAATTATCCCTTTGGAGGTGAATTGTCCATATGGCTCTCCTTGCATCACCTTTCTGCGTTTCATTTCTAATACGTGTGGTTGATGAGGCAGAAAGAAGATGAGTTCAAATCTAATGTTTAATTACAGCTTAGTAGACCAGGTATGACACTGATTATATTTTTATTTTATCTATGTTCTTTTTGGTGCCAATTAACATCATTATTTAAAAGCTCCTGGGTTTTGTTTTCATATTGATCCACCTAAGAAGCAAAGGTTTTGGTTCAAAATAACCCTAGAATATGTAGAGAACTTATTTGAATTTGCTTAGTATAGTAAGACTAAGGTTATAAAATAATTACAGTAATAATTGATCAAATATATGTATTATTGATTAGTGGAGGTTATTAGAAAATCTGGGGAACACTGAGTAGATACTTGGGCAGACTCTTGTTTCAGAGCCATTTTCTGCTCCTGATCCTCTCTTTAGCATTTTCTCCACTCTGACACTCCATTCAGCCTTGAAAATTCTCCTTCCCCAACCCCTGCACACTTTTATTTCCCTCTTGAGAGTAAAACAGAAGCAAGAATATAGAGGCAAGATACATATACTTAATTGGATGAAGAGTGATTGTGAATCACTAAATAAAGGTAAAAATGAATCTCGTCTATATATTTTTTTGAACTACTAATAAGTCCTCCCCAATAGAAAGTGGGTGAGATAAAGAGATAAATTTGGAAACATTTGCATGTATGTTTTTAATTTCAGGTGAAACTACTGGGCCATGGACAGCCACTTAACTGGATTTCTTTGGAGCAAAATGGCATTATGGTAGAACTGCCACAGCTAACCATTCGTCAGATGCCATGTAAATGGGGCTGGGCTCTAGCACTAACTAATGTGATCTAAAGTGCAGCAGAGTGGCTGATGCTGCAAGTTATGTCTAAGACTAGGAACTATCGGGTGTCTATAATTATAGCACATGGAGAAAGCAAATGTAAAATTGGATAAGAAAATTATTTCGGCAATTCAGCTCTTTCCCGTTTTCCCACTAAATTTTTTCTTAAATTACCATTTTAACTCTCCAGTGCACTTTGCCATTAAAGTCTCTTCACATTGATTTGTTTCCATGTGTGACTCAGAGGTGCGAATTTTTTCACGTTAGAGTAGCAAGGAATTGGTGGTATTATGGACTGAACTGAAAATTTTATGTTGAAACCATATCCCCCAACATGACTATATAGTTATGTATCACTTAACGATGGGGATATTTTCTGGGAAATGCATTGCTAGTCAGTTTTTTTTTTTATGCCAACATCATAGAATATATTTACAAAATCCTAGATGGCATAGCCTACTACACACCTAATGTGTATGGTATAGACTATTGCTCCTAGGCTACAGACATATTCAGCATGTTACTGAATACTGTAGGCAATAGTAACACAGTGGTATTTGTGTATCTAAACATACGGAAACATAGAAAAGGTACAGTAAATATACTGTAAAATAAATGGTGCACCTATACAGGGCACTTACTGTGAATGGAGCTTACAGGACTGGAAGTTGCTCTGGGTGAGTTAGTGAGTGAATGGCGAGTGAATGTGAAGGCCTAGGACATTATTGAACACTACAGACTTTATAAATACTGTATGCTTAGGCTATGCTACATTTATAAAAAATGTTTTTCTTTCTTCAATTACAAATTAACATAAGCTTACTGTAACTTTACAAAGTTTTTAATTTTTAAAACCTTTTTGGCTCTTTTGTAATAACTTAGCTTAAAACATAAACTCATTGTGCAAATGTACAAAAATATTTTCTTTCTTTATATTCTTATACTATAAGCTTTTTTTCTATTTTTAAAATTTTTAACGTTTTACTTTTACAGAAACACACACATTAGCCTAGGCCTACATGGGGTCAGGATCATCAATGTCACTGTCTTCCATCTCCACATCTTGTCCTGCTTAGAAGGTTTTCAGGGGCAATAATACCCATGGAGCTGTCATCTCCTATAACAATGCCTTCTTCTGAAAAACTTCCTGAAGGACCTGCCTTATGCTGTTTCACATTTTTTTTTTTTTTAAGTAGAAATACACTCTAAAATAATGACAAAACATATAGCATAGCAATACATAAACCAGTAACCTAGCTGTTTATTATCAAGTATTACATACCTTACAGCATTTTATATGCTAGATTTTTATACGACTGGCAGCACAGGTTTGTTTACACCAGCATCACCATAAATAATGTGATTAACGTGTTGTGCTACCTTATGATGGCTATGATGTCACTAGGTGATAGGAATTTTTAGCTCCATTATAATCTTATGGCACCACCAATATATATGCAGTCCATTATTGACTGAAAAGTTGTTATGTGGTACATGGCTATATTTTGAAATAGGGCCTTTAAAGAGTAACTAAGGTTAAGTGAGGTCATAAAGGTAGGGCCCTCAAGCCAATAGGACTGATGTCCTTACAAGAAGGGGAAGACACACCACGGATACAAGTGCACAGAAGAAAGGCCGTATAAAGACAGTGAGAAGGTGCCATCTGCAAGTCAAGGAGAGAAGTCTTTGAAGAAACCACATCTGCTGATACCTTGGACTTTCAGCCTCCAGAACTGTGAGAAAATAAATTTCTGTTGTTTAACCTGAGTAGAGGTTGTGTTTTCTATTCCCATTTGCTGCAATGTATGTTTACCAAAGGCTGTTTGAGTTTGTGACTGTAGTGGGTCAAATAGTGTTCCCCAATAATTTATGTCCACCTGGAACCTCAGAATGTATTCTCACTTGGAAATCATGTCTTTGCAGATGTAATAGGTAAGTATTGAGATAAGCTCATATTGGATATGGGTAGGTTCTAAATCCAATGACAGTATCCTTATAAATGACAGAAAAGGACACAGAGACAGAAAAAGGCCATGTGACAACTAGGCAGAGATTGGAGAGGAAGCATGGCCCTGCAGACACCTTGATTTTGGATTTCTAGCCACCAGAAGTGTGAGAATAAATTTCTCGTTTTAAGCCACTTACGGAGTGGTAATTTGTTACAGCAGCTCTAGGAAACTAATAGTTACCAAATAAATTGATTATGCCAGGTGAACTTTTTATGATGATTTTAAGAGCCAATGATGCAAGTGTGAAGAGTTGTAGTTTCCGTGAAAGCCAAGTTGAATACTTTGGAAAGACTAGATAAAAGTTTGTTGACTTTAAAAATTAATGATGATAATAATAATAATAAGCTATTGGTTAAGTGTGGGCAAAACTGTTCTAAAAGATTGGGGGAAAATATAGTAAAAATCTTCAAGAATTCTGCATCTCTGGTTCACACCTATGACACCTATGACATTACATGTAGTTTGTACAAGAAAGATAATTAGATTACAAGCTCCAGTTTGTAATCCCAGGCTGAGGTGGGAGGATCCTTGAGGCCAGGAATTTAAGAAAGATAATTAGAGAACATCTATCAGCAGACCTATATGGGAAAGCAGCTATGCTGTACGACACTATGTCACCAACACCAACTGAGTAGACCTACACTAAAAAGTTAGAAAAAACCTGGATCCTATAGTAAATAAGTGATAAATATAGAACATTTAAAGTTAAAATGTCTATATATGTATTTTTTATGACATCCTGATTTACATAACTTTTTAGATTAACTAAACAACTAAAGGTTTCTGATGAGAGGGCTCCTGCTATACTATTAGAAAGCAGATATGTACTATGTAAGACCAATTAACTTTATTTTTATATTTATTCATTTTTTTGAGACAGAGTCTCACTCTGTCGCCCAGGCTGGAGTGCAGTGGCATGATCTCAGCTCACTGCAACCTCTGCCTCCCAGGTTCAAGTGATTCTCCTGCCTCAGCCTCCCAAGTAGCTTTACATACATGTGGTTTTTACCTTGTCGTCTCTTCCACTGCCACAATTATACAGATGCGTATGATTCCAGGAGATAATTTTCAGCTGATCAAATTTGTATCTTACAAGGCCACACCTGTTTAGTCTCAAATTTTCCCTGGATGAAATCCTGGGTTAATTTTATTGGAAGAGATGCGTGCCCATTACACACACATTCCCTAATTTCCCAAAATGCTATTTTTCATTTACCCTATTAAAAATGAGAATATCATATTTTGTCAAATTTTGGAAAGAAGCATGTTCCCTCCTCTCCACCTCCACTTGTTTTTTTTTTTTTTTTCCAGACACGGTCTCACTCTGTCACCCAGGCTAGAGTGCAGTGGTGCAATCATAGCTCACTGCAGCCTTGACTTACTGGGCTCAAGTGATTCTCTCACCTCATCACTGCAAATAGCTGGGACTATGGGCACATGCCACTGTGCCTGACTAATTTTTTTGTAGACAGAGGATTTTACCACATTGCCCAGGCTGGACCATTATCTTTTTTTTTTTTTAAGTTTTCAATATTTTGCTCAAGATTTTTTTTTTTTTAAAGTTAATTACAGCATTTGAAGAAGAGGATCTAATTCCACACAAAATAGAAGACTCTAAAATGTATCCATTAAACTGCTAAAAAATAAATAGAGTGGTAAGAATACCACATAAGCCCAATTTAGATTCTGAGTGCTGTCACCTGTGATTACAATTATACAGACTCTTCCAAGCTTATAGCTGGAGCTCCTGGAAGCTATTTTATACTCTGACGCAAGGACAAAAAAACTCACAACTCAGGAAGGAATTAAGTCCTGAATTATTGGTTTCATCACATTCACCCTCTCTACCCCAAAACTGCACAAAAGAAACAGTGACCACACCCTGTAGATCTTTTTGTGTAAAAGAGGTAATGAAGAACTGGGATGGGAACAAGTCATGAAGATCTGTCTTACAAAGGTCCCTTTCAGGTAAGTTTGTACACACCATCACGCAACGAGCCTCTCATCAATTATGGTTAGGAAACCAGGTTCAATTCTCAGGAAATCCCAATTTCATTCATTTACTCAATATGAATTTACAAGGTGCCTATATATTATCAGCTTCCACTTGCAGCCATTTCTAGATAAAAAAGAAACCTGGCATCTCTACAGGGGCCACCAAGTTCCCCAAATCTACCACTGAAAGGACCTTTTTGGAACTGGGTTTCTTCTGTACCTCTGAAAGGGTAACACCTTAAAGCTGAATCATCTTTAACTTGGAGGTCCAACATGACATTTAGCAATACTTGCAACCCAGACATACATTAAAAGATACACTAAATTCTGAAGGCAGCTACGCTGCAAAATGATTTAAACAATTCTACAGCATTCATTTATGCTTGAAATTCCAGTCCTAGACCAAGTTTGTGGCCACCAGCATAGATGTTCTTGCCACCCAGGAGAGCTGACAGTGTCAGTTTGATACCTGGCTTTAGGCTTTGAGTGTATCCTAAACCTATCAGGCTGGAGTTGTTCACTTCAGTGGAGAAGTGGGCTTTAGGGTCGATCTGATACTTGGCTGCTATTCCGAAGTGAGTGTTACTGTTTCCTGCTGTCCCAGAGAAACTGACAGCAGTCTCCAACTTCTTGCTCACCTTCTGGTAATTGGACCTGCCAAACTGTCCTGTCATTCACATTAGTGTGAAGCTAGAATTCAGTCTTGTGGCCAACCGCAAAGTTGCTGTGCGTCACTCAGGACTTCGTGGTCTCAAAATTCACCTGGTAGCCGGCCAGCCAACCCTCATAACCCAGCACTTACAGCGCCTCGGACTGAAGGCCCAGCAACGTCCAAATCCATGTCGCAGCTCAGGTTAATGTGCTCCCGCTTGTATCCTGTCTTGATTTTAGCATTTTCCCCCCAGTGTTAGGGGAGAAGGATGAATGGAGGGTCAGCTTCAGTCCACATGTTAACTGATCTCCCATAGTAATCTCGGTGCCTAGAGTGTTGTCAGTGTTCCATTTCCTTGTAAATGTCAGGCCATATTCGCTCTATCTGTACGTGGTTTCCAGACTGCCTGTCACATTGGTGGTCTAAGTGTTGGCTGAGCCTGAGCTTGTAAATTCCAATCCATTCTAAGATTTTGTTTTCAAATCAGGTTTTATTAAGCCAAATCCATATCCCTTGGTGAAGACATGCTTGGCAGATTTGCCAAGATTAGCATATGTGAGTGGCACAGCCATCTTCTGCTCAGAGACAATGCCAGTGGGCTCAGAGGTCTATGTTGAGGGCTATGGCTCCGCTACCTATTTTTAAAAACATTCTAGACACAAACTCCCTAGCAGTCAGCTCCAGGCCTAGCCGGCCTTAGAAGAGACCTCATAATTTATTTTCTACCTTCTACTGTTCAGCTACATGTTATGTTGGAGGAACATAAAACAATGTTACTGAAAATATATGTCAACATACTAATGATACATAATGATTTATTTACTTTTGCCCTAATTACCCTTCTAAATGAAGAATTACAGATGTATTACTAGAGACAATGAATTATTTCTTTTCCAGAAAGTAAAGCTATTTGCTTTTTACTAAATGAACAAGTTAACAACAACAAAAAAGCACCAAGTACATGACCAATTAAAATGAAACTTAAACTAGCATGCTCTCTCTTCCGAAATAATAACAAAAATGCTATGGGATAAGTAAATTAATAGCTGAAAAATATTAACTCAACAAAATAATATTTTACTAAAATAGTTTATTGCAGTAAGATTTTCACTGTATTCAAAATCAATACAAAGTTAAGTTTTTAAAATTATATAAGTACACACAAATGATTAAAACTATGTAATTAGGTGAGTAAACAGCATCAACACAATTTTAGCCTCTAAATCAATATGTAACTTTCTAAGTCTTGCTAATAAAACCTTAAAAAATATAGTGAAGAAATAGCAAAGGAAAAATAGTTCATCATAGTTGTTGAAATTTACTACTTCCATAAGAATAAAAAAGTCCTCCATCAAGGTATATTTTAAACAAATAATTTATTATTTTGAAGGGTAGCTAGAGAAAAGTCAGATTCACTTCTGTTTACAGCAGTCTAGGGAACATTATAATTAAACAGCATATTTTCCCAAAATTCACATATTCTAGACCTATGTCTCCAACAGATATTTTTCCTCAGTATTAATATGGCAAAGTACACTGAATTTCATATTCATATATATATGTATATAAAATATCTACATTGATTTTTAGTCAGTTTGGAACGAATGTCCATGTGTAACAAATCATTAACAATTCTGATATTTGCACATGTGTACATATATGTGCCCACAAAAACTGGTCTGTTGATGAATCTAAAAAAATATATTAAGATGCCAAATAAATTGATTTCATTATGAAATGAAGACTTTTATTAAGAATATATTTTATCAGACATTTTGATAACAAACTGTTACTCTAAGTATAGGTGATTTACCCAGTGTTTTTTAAAAAGTAAACGAATCCCCACTGTAGTTTTTCTTGAAGGAAAAATCATTTCTCCAGTTGCTGAGGGGTACTAAAAGCTTCATACACATTAGCAGCAAAGTCTTTCACTTGCTCCATTGTCAACAGATCCTAGCAAAGATGATAATGTAACATTATAGTTTGCAAAAAGTATACAAAATTTGAATTAATTTCTGCAATCAAGGGATGAATTCAGTTCTAAGTTTTGTGGTAAAGGCCAAGAGGCAAACCATTTAAGAAAATGAGTAGTTTTTCTTGTAATAAATTCTAGAAGATAGTTATTATTTAGGTTCTTATATGAGGGATGATGGTATCATAAGCGTTCAAGTGTGACTTTGAGGGACAAAAACCCCAAATAGTCTTCAAATGAATTTTTGTGTATGTCAAGTGCTAGATAAGTATCTATTGAATAAATAACTATAGGAGTAAAGGTACTTTTGCTGGAAGCTGACATAACATGGTTAAGGGCATATTACTTTCTAGAAGATCTAACATACGGTATGAATATAGGTAGCAAGTGCATATTTTACATATACACACATACATGAACCACACATACACTATAGTGTAAGGGTTCTTAACACCCCAAGGGATTTGCGAATGTAAAGATAAGAAAAAACTACATCTTCATTTTTATTAACTTCTAACCAAAATCTGGTATCTCTTTCAATTATGAATGTAGGCAACAAACTGTGATGATATTAGCAGGTTGTATGACTTTGTCTTCAATAGAAATCACAGGCAGTTTCATGTCATATGACAGTTGTGGAAGTTATCAGAACTCTCATTATATCTTCGTATTTAATGCATGAATAAAGAAGCAATACTGCTATATCATAAACTTAATTTTAAAAGAAAATTTGAAAACTATATATAATTGGTTTCCTTTAATTATGTATTTTACTGTATGCACTTATACATATTGTTCTGAGAAGGGGTCCATAGACTTCACCAGCCTGTGAAAGGGTCCATGACAGAAAAGGTTGAGAGCCTCTGAAATGTGAAGGAAATCTGGCCCTAGTGATCTCTGTTTCTTAAGTATCAGAAAATCCAAGTGAGGTTTAGACATGTCCTAATCTCAATCAATTCATGGTTAAATTATCTCGTCAGAGAATTTGATGTTATTTAGTTTCAAGTATTCAGTCTAGGTGTTCAATGAAACAGGTTTAGATCAATGTTTCTCAAACCAGAATTTACAGACATGCTTTCAGGGGCCCAAGAATTTGAGGGGAAATTTTGTGTTTTGATTTCTGTGAAAATGTAAAGAAAACTCAAGCATGCTCTTGATTATTGAGAAGATAAAACATATAACCTACTGTTGTTCCAGATTTTAGGGCATGTTTATATTTACGCTCTTATTGGCTTTAAGTAACATTACTTTAACTGTCTTGTGCTAATGAGAAAAGAACAGAGGAAGAAAATCTTTCAAATGAAGGCCAAATCATGTACAAATACATGATACAAATGAAGCTTTCAGAATAGTTACAGTAGATTTAAAAAAATAATAATAATAATAGCAAGTCAGCTTTAGAAAATACAGGCTGAATGCTCAACAGCATGAACAGCAGCAGACAGGTCCACATTCACTTTGGCACAACAAATGATTAACAGTAGCCATCAGCCATATTATAGACCAATCTACTTACTTTTCGTAATTTAGATTATACTTGATAATAAAACTGCTTTGGTTTAGAGTTATGAAAAAACTCTAATCTTTTTTTTTTTTTTTGAGACGGAGTCTCGCTCTGTTGCCCAGGCTGGAGTGCAGTGGCGCGATCTTGGCTCACTGCAAGCTCCGCCTCCCGGGTTCCCGCCATTCTCCTGCCTCAGCCTCCCGAGTAGCTGGGACTACAGGCGCCGCCACCAGCCCGGCTAGTTTTTTGTATTTTTAGTAGAGACGGTGTTTCACTGTGTTAGCCAGGATGGGCTCGATCTCCTGACCTCGTGATCCACCCGCCTCGGCCTCCCAAAGCGCTGGGATTACAGGCGTGAGCCACCGCGCCCGGCCGGAAAAGACTCTAATCTTAAGGATCTTATTGAGTTTTTAATTTATACACTAAAAATGATTTAAACACTGGAGGACTGTGGTATATCTGGGTACATTGTATGTGAGGTGTATGGACAAGTCTCAGAAACACTACCATTGTAGTGCAAAAGCAGCCATAAACAACACATAAACCAATGGGCATGCTGTCACCCAACAAAACTTACAAAAGCTGGTGCTTGGCTGGATTTGGCTCATAGGTCATAGTTAGTTTATATCAGCTTTATAATAAAGACTTCAATCTGTTCAAATACTGTATCCTGATGCAGCTTCCAGGATGTTTTCAGTAGTCTGAGATAAAAATTATGTATCACAGGGTTGGTTCACATTATAAAAGCTCTTTCCTCATGTTAATCTGAAAGCAATCTGAAATAATTTATCTCCTGCTTATGTTATTTGAAAGCTATTTGAAAATAATTTGAAAAAACACCTTTCTCGATTGTTTTCTGATTCTCCCATTCCCTGCCTTTACGAACTACCATCCTAGTATCTTCTACCACAGGGGTCAGCAAAGTACAGCCTGTGGGCCAAATCCACTGCTGCCTGTTTTTGTATATAAAGTTGTGTTGAAACAGCCACACTCTTTTGTTCATGTATGTTTCTGACTGCTTTCACACTGCTAGAGCAGATATGAATAGTTTCTGTAGAGAATGTATGTTGCATAAAGTATGTACTATCTGGCCCTGTACAGTTTGCCAACCCCTGTTCTACAGCATTCCCACAATAGGCTCTCCTACACACCATTGTAGTTGAAGTAATAGCAGTAATTTGAAAGGATTAATTTTATGTAAATTAACATTCTAATCAAGGCAAAGAAAGGCTTTACAAAAAGATAAGTGGAAATAGTAGAGCACACGTTCAGAAGACCACTTGGTATTTTAACTCATAAATTATAGTCTAAAAAATTAAACTATAATTGTTATAGCCTTGTCAATCAATGGTCTAGTATATACATTTAATATACATCCAGTTACACTAAAAAACTTTACTAAACATTAGTATCAATGGTGTTTTTACTGTACTGAAACATTTGTTTTTATTATCAATTATATCAATTTTAATTAAAGTGTACTGCATAAAATTTAAGCATTAAGGTTGATGATGCTTTATGCTTGGCTGTCATTTCCACTTATCTGTCAAAATGAACAGCCTACTGGCCAAGTCAGGGACTTCTCCAGAAGAGGACAAAGGTAAAGGTAAAGTTTAAATGCCCCAAGTTATGACCTTTTTCTCACATTGATATAGATGTGAAGCTTAAAATTCAGTAAAATGAGATCAGTCTTATTCACTATTTCTTCTGCAATATGAGTGCCCAGCTCTTATGGGTGAGAAAGAGAACAGTGCATGTGAAGGACAGGCTGATGACACCACAGTGAAAGGAGGAAACAAACTCTTAGTCTCAGTGCTCTCCACATTATCAAGAGTAAAAAGTCTACAGAGAGGATACACTAAACTATCTGAAACAAGTTACACTAAGAAGACGTCAGCTTTATTCTTAGGCCATAGGGTCTCTTCTCATTGTACATTATTGAAGCAGTTTGCAATTGGTATTGCAAACAATTTTTTTAACTTATAACACAGTTTTCAAGTTTGCACATGACTCAGAAATTCAAAGTTATTTTGTTTATAATATCTGTGTGACTCAATGAATTAGTGAATTACTCAATGCATTCCAAATGGAAATGAAGAAAGAAGACGGACTTATAAGTAGTCTGATAAAACATTTAAATGACCCACTGTTTATGGAACTTTTAGTGAGCATATTATTGATGCACTATTAACAGTTACATTTTATTAATCACTAAAATGACTTACTTCTCCAAAAATTTTTTTAGTTTTCCTCAAAATGTGTAGAATGGGATCCTTGATCTGCCTCAAGGCTCAATCTTCTTATTAGCACAACTTAATGCAAAACATTCATGCTATATAAATTCAACTGACCACTATAATATACCTGGTCTAAAATGTAGTCCCACAGTGTTGGACTACAACACGGAGAAAGATACTCCAAACTTACACATTTGCTATAATCCATTATTACTCTCATGGGACACTCTACCACACTCTACATGTAGTTCCAAGTTCTGTGTTTTTTTGAAAAAACATCTCAGCAGAGAATGTAAGTTTATCTTAGACACACATGACCACCACCCATGAATACAATTTGCTTTTAATAACACTCCCAAGCTTTCTCCTTACCTGAACAAAATGACTAGGTGTTTCACTGCAAACTGAATGGATCTGTCCGTTTACTATTGGAATTATCTTAGCTAAAGGCAGGCTGACACTGGAAAGACTGAAAAATCATCACAGTAATGATTATTTTCTGAAATGACCTCATAGGACTTTAACATCTTAATTATAAAAGTAATGCATAGCCATTGAAGAATATTTTTGGAAATCTATTAAAAAGGAAAAAAAACCCACAATTCTATCGCTTAGAAATAACAACTCTAATTGACATCATGACCAATGTCTTCTGGCTTTTTTTTTACACGTCTTTGTTTTGTTGTGTCTACCAAAAACCTCTAACCTCCTAAGCATACTGTTTTTGCAGTTTTATTGTTATGAGTATTTTCCATCTTATTAAAAGTTCTAAAGTGTTTGTCTGATTGTTTTTTAATGACTATACAGTAATCTGTCCTCTAGCTGTGACAATTTATATCATGAGCTCCCTAGAGTTGGGTATTTCAGTTTTTGCCTAAATTTTCTTAATCTAAATAACTTTTTGTATAAACATGAAATCACTGGGTCAAAGGGTATGACTGTATCTGCTCCATTATGTCTTCTTTCAACATCCAACATTATCCTTTTCTTTAATCTTTCTACATCTGATAGGTGAAAATGGTATCTTACAGGTTAAATATGCATTTCTCTTAATTACTAACAATGTTGGGTATTTCCCCCCCCTACTCCAGTGAACCACACCATTATCTATCAAGCTCTAGAAGCAGAAAATATGGGCATTATCCCTGGCACTTCTTTCTCTTGTCTATATCCAATCAGATATTCTAAAGATTTCTCAAAAGAAATCTTTTAATGATCTTAAAATCTTTTGAAAATCCTTGTCACTTCTTTCTCTTGCCTATATTCAAATAAAGAAGTGCCAAGAATTCTTCCCATTGCCAAACAGATTCCAAGCTGAGCAATTATCTCTTGCCTGGACTACAGCAACAACTTTTTAACTTGTTAGAGCACAACATTTGTTGGATGCATAAATGAATACATGTATGTATCACTGTATGTACGTGATATAATGACTTAAACAACAGGACTCATTTTTGTGTTGGGCTTGTATATTTAGTCTTATTAAATATGACATCTCATACATTTCAACCTAGGGCTGCACTAGAAATTTCCTGTTAAATATCATGCAAGTGCCGAAGCTAGGGTGTACAACCAGTGTGCTATGCTGAGATTTGAGGCAATGCTTAAAAAAGAATAATGGATGTGGGAAGATTTATGTATTCCTGAGGGAAGCAGGCATTATTTTTTTCATAGTACCCTTGTAGCATTTCTCAAAATCTATCATGATTTTGATTACTTGATTGCTCTGTCTCTCCCTCACTATCATGGAAGCTCCATGAGGTTACATACCATGTCTATCTTATGCACTGTATTGTCCCAGCACATAGTAAAGGGTCTTGTGTACAGCGGACATCCAATACATACTTGTTGAACTGATTAACAAGTCTTCATTCATCCACTGCTGTGTCTTGCCCCAATCCCTGTTTCCCCAATTCCTTCTCCACAAAGCAGTCAAAGAAATCATACAATGTAAATTCCATTACATCACTTTCCTGCTCAAAACTCTCCAGTGGCCTTCCAGTGTTCTCAGATGACAGCCATATCTGTATGTGCTGCGTTTTCCAGCTTTGTCTGACACCACTCTTCTTCTAGTTCTAGAAGTGTTCAGCTACCACCCCAGCCTCTTTACAGGTCTTAAAACGTACTTAGGTGGCTTCAAAATCTTTGCCGTGTGGCTTCTGCCCAGAATGTCAACTGCTCCACTGCTGTCTAGGGTCATATTTAATCGCTTCCAATCTTAGTTCTCAGTTCAAATTATTTCCTCAGGAAAACTGCTTGACTGTCCACTTTTGTTTAAATTTTTCTATTATATGTTCAGTGCTCTTCTCCTTTATAACACTTCTCATAGTTTATACGATTATATTTACTATTTCCCCAACTAGACTGTAAGATCCATGGGAACACAAACCTAATACAGTGCCTGATTCATAGCATGTGTTCAATAAATCTTAGATTAACAAATTGGCCATTTCCATCTGCTCTTTTGTGAATTATCTGTGCCTTTGATGCACATTTTCTACGAAAGAAAATTTGTCTTTCCTTAGGTGTTTGCTCCCTTAATTGATGTGCAAAAGTTCTGCATATAACGTCATTACACTCATGTATTATATACATATATATACACACACACACAGAACAAACATTTCCTCCTATATATGATTTGCATTTAATATTGATGAAAAGCTTATAAAAGCTTGTTTGATCTATAAGTTTTAAAAATTACACAGTCAAACCTATCCTTATTTTATATAAAGTTCCTTACTTTCATTCTTAGAAATACCTTCTCCGTCTTGAGGTCACATAAAGATTCACCTGTTTTCGATCAGTTCATTTGATTTTACTTAGTATATTTAAAGGTTTAAACCTCCTGAATTTTATTAGTCATTGTAAAATGACTAATTGTTATTTGTCTTACTAACGTACATTTTGCCCACAATCATTACTAACATCCTACATATTTTAGGGCTACTTCTGGATTTTATATTCTATTTCACTGACTTACCTATTATTTTATGAATAACATTAATAATTATACCTGATATTATATATTATACAGGAAAAGCATATTCATTGCTCTTCTTTTCCAGTAATTGTTTAAACATTCTCACTCCATTATTCCTCCAGATTACCTTTATTATCATTTGTCAGGTTTAAGATGAAAAAAATCAACCATCCTCTAATCTCCAATAGAATTTTGATAATATTTTGATTATAGATTAATTTTGGAAGGCTAATTTTACACTTTTTAGTTGATTCTCTTGCGTTTCTAAGTATAAAGTCTGTCACCTTCATGTAACAATAGCATTTTCTTCTCCCTTTTCAAAGTTGGTATCATTTTTGAAGATAGCATGAGTTTAACTTAGAAAACCAACAGTCAACTAACAGTTTATTAAAATGGTAAGAACACTCAGTAAATTGTCTATTTTCCTTCTTTTCTCACTATCCAACAGTAAAAGTTACCTATTTTCAAGATATAAGTATAGAAAAAAATCAGTTGCTTTCCTTAATTGGATCTCAACATTGGTCTTCTCCTAGCCTTACTCCATTAGATAGAATAATAGAATGATGCTGAATAATCTGTCAATAGTGACCATCTTTATACTGTTTTTGAACTTAATGGAAATCATTCTAGTTTTACTGTTAAGTATATTAGCTTTTGATTTCAAATACTCTTTTTTATTTTTTACTTTTAAGAGACAGGGTCTTGTTCTGTCACTCAGACTGGAGTACAGTGGCATGATCATAGCTCACTGTGGCCTTGAACTCTGGGGCTCAAGCAATCCTCTTGATGGTTTTTAAAATTTTTGTAGAGAGGGCATCTTGCTATGTTCCACAGGCTGATCTTGAACTCCTAGCCTCAAGCAATCTTCCTGCCTTGGCCTCCAAAAGCATCGCGATTACAGATGTGAGCTATCACACCTGACTCAAATATTATTTTATTACATAAAAATGTATTTTTTATTTCTAGTAAGAGGTTTTATTCATAATAAATGTTGTTTTATTGAATGTCTTTTCAGCAACACTGAAGATAATGTTTTTTATATTATTAGCTTATTAATGTTATGGATTACCAAAACAGCTTTTCTAGTTTTAACTCTCCTTACAGTCTTAAACCTTAATTAATCATAGTGTTGGAGAATAATTAAAATTAAAAATCTAAAAATCTATCTCAGATAGACATTATTGAACACCTGGCTTTACCACTTGACCTGAAGTAATTTAATTTTTCTGTGTCTTAGTCTCCTCACCTGGAAAATGAAGAATACTAGCACGTATTTCCTAGGATTATTGTAAGAATTCAATGAGATATATTCCGAAAAATACCTATCATCAAACTAGCACATGGAAAAAGTATTAGCTGCCATTATTATTGTAATATACCTCTGGTATATTACACTTTTGACTTTTAAATATCCATTATACATTATATTATATGCATATGTAATACATATAATACATATATGTTGCATATTTTTATATACATATATATAAAAAATCAAAGCCTTTATTAGTTTACTTCATTTTTCAGTTGATTCTCTTCAGAGGTCTGGCTTATTAATCATAATACACATAAATAATGTACTTTGTGTCTTTGCCAATAGTTAAAAACCTTACTTCTGTCTTTTTTTTTGGCGGGGGGTTCTCACTCCTTTGTCCAGGCTACAGTGCAGCAGCACCATCACGACTCATTGCAGCCTTGACTTCCCGGGCTCAGGTGATTCTCCCACTTCAGCCTTCCAATTAGCTGGGACCACAGGCATGTGCCACGTGCCCAGCTAATTTTTATAGTTTTTGTAGAGATAGGGTCTCTCCCTATGTTTCCCAGGCTGGTCTTGAACTCCTGGGCTAGTGTAATCTGCCCGTCTTAGCCTCCCAAGGTGCTGGGATTACAGGCCTTAGCCATTTGTTTTTTCTTTACTTACTATGATGGCTAGACTTTCACAACATATTAAACAATGATGGCAATAGGCTTGATGGAAATGTTTCTAGCGTTCAATCATGGAGCATGAAGTTGATTATTGAAATGAAATAGAAAAACTTATATAGAAAATATATACTGAGTGCCTTGTATGAGTAAAGAGATATGAAATGGCACAAGATAGTCTTTGACTTTTGAGAGGAGGCTTAAAATGTAATTGAGGAATAAAACTCCAATTCAAGGTAGCACATGTAGGTTGTATCTATGAAAGTGTAGATAATGAATTCTATCGCTCAGAAAACAAAACACCATCATGGCTGATGTGGCTGTAGTATAATTTTTACAATTCTTCAGAGTACAAAATCACGTATGTGCTTATGTTAAAATAACTATTATAATTACGTATCACCACTTGTTAAATAACGAATATCTTGCTATATACAGGTTATAGTGAAATTTTATTAATTGAGCACCTTGATTTATACAGTATATAGGATTGGTCTTGAGCCAAAATTTATTTTTGTATAACTTAAACATTTTTTTAAGACTTTAGATTGATATTTAAATTACTTCAGAAAACAAACTTTATGTCTGTAAGCATTCCAAATGCTTAATGTCAATGTCAAATTAATCTTTTCTGTACAATAAAGAAGGGTCTCAGAGAATCGGGTAAATAACTTCTGGCCCTATGCATTTAAGAATTAAATTGGATATCGCACATACATGTTGCCTATCAATTACTGTGTCCCCAATTAAAAAAAAAATTTTAAAGCTACTTCAAAGAATGTGTCTCAAATTTTAATGAATGAGTTTACAGTCAGTCAACATTAATTTAGTACCCGTTATATTCTGAGTTTTGATATAAAAAATGGCAAAATAGAAATCCTTAAAGAGTGTAAATTCTAATATGAGACCAAAGATACTTGTGTTGGGATAATAAAGATAAAAAAAACCATAAGATACCTTCTGGCATACAGAAGTCCATGATTTAGTAATAGTTATGATTAAAATCACTAACAATTGCACTAACTAGATGTTCCTAATTCTATAATAAGGACTGGAATGAATATATTTAAGTATTTGTAGAACTATAGGAGCTAATTCATCAAATGAGAATCTACACCAACAATGCCCGGTTATTATAAGGACCAAAGTATTGAATTTTGCAGACCAAAATGGCCTGCAGTAATGGAATAACATTAGAGAATGCATTAAAATTAAAATACATTGTGAGTTTTGTATTCTAAAGTGTTAAAAAAAAACAATAATTGGAATTCAACTTATAGAAAGGTAATTTCACAACTTAAGTACTTCGATATAGTGGCAAAGTTTTTGGAAGACTGCAAGTTTTAATACTGAAACCAAGAAGGAGCTTCTGCTAGTGAAGAAGTTGTTGGTTTAACAGAGTTTAATTTGTTAAAAAATGAGGCACGCGAATTTACTAGGTTTGTTGTTATCTGGAACAAAAAGGCAAAGCACCATTTTTTTAGAGCATTCATTAGTATAACATTTTTATACGTCATCTTACCTATTCATAGAGTTACCATGTTGCAGGTCCTGTTCAGTAGGTCGAAAGAACTCAGCCATATTGTCTAGAAGTCTACTAAAACCTCGGTTTAAACAGGTATTCAAAACTGTACTAAAATCTGGGCTATACAAAATAGAAGTACAAGTTACTTTTTAGATTCTGAATGGAAGAAGAAAACAAATTCAATAATAATGTGGTTACCTTTGAAAGCCACCAACGTTTTTAGTCATAATCTAATACTGTAAAAATATATCAAGGAGTCAATCTTTAAAAAGTAAGTATTTAAAAATGAGCTTATTTAGCACAACATAAGGAGAATATTCATCCACTTCCGATTTTTTTATACTAGTCAGCACTTTGTACAATGAATTTTTTTTAAAATATCAATACTAGTACTACTAATTTTGAGGAAACTCTTAAATTTCCTTATAGTCATAGATTGGTTGGCTTTACATCCTCTACCATGATATTTCAGTGAGACAGAAAATATTATTATCGTGTACAGATGAGGAACTGATACTTGAAGGAAGAAGAAACTTGACTAAAGGCATGTGATAAGTAAATTGGGGAGCTTGAATATGAGACCAGGGCTTTTTGATCTTAATTATATGCTCTTAGTTCCTCACAAAACTCTTTAATATAAAGAATAATATATAAAGACGCTACGAAAGCTAGAAAATACCTAGTTATGTTCAAGTTTCTTGACTAGAGTGTGCATGTGTATGTGTGTATCTTTCTATCTTTTTTCCTTAGTCGTCTCTCTTTTTAAAAGCATTTTAACGGCTTCATTGAAGTAGGACTTAGAGGGCATAAAATTTACCCATTTTAAATGCACAAGTCAATGATTTTTAGTAAATTTGCATAATTGTGCAACTATCGCTACAATTCAATTTTCGAACATTTTTGTCACCCATTAGGCCCATTTCCAGCCAATCCTCATCTCACTCTTAACTCCAGGTAACTATTAATCTACTTTTGGTCTATACAGTTTTCTGGACATTTCATAGAAACAGTCATACACATGTGGTCTTTCGCGTCTGGCTTCTTTCATTTAGCATAATGTTTTGAAGGTTCTTCTATACTGCAGCACGTATCAATGGCTTGTTCCCCTTTTTTGCTACATAGGGCTCCACTGTATGAATACATCACATTTTATACTTTCGTTAGTTAATAGAAATACGGATTGTTTCTACTTTTTGGCTATTGTGAGTAATGGTGTTACGAAATTTCTTAACAAGTTTTTGTCTAGAGATGTTTTCATTCTTTTGGGTGGATACCTAGGAGTGGAATTGCTGGGTTGCATGGTAATTTGGGCTGAACTTTGTTCTTTTAAAGGTAATATAGTAAGGTTCCAAGAAGAAAAATGATTAAGGGGATGGAAGCCGAAGAAATGGAAACTGAAGAAAAGATCATCATAGTACCTACCTCCTAGAGTTACTGTAAGGTTTAAGTGAGTTAAGATAGGTAAAGCAGTATAGAACAGTGCTTTGCTGCATAAGCACTCAAAAATGTTAATTTTTATTTTTCTTATTGAATTGAATTCATTTAGGCCAGTGAAAGAAATGAGAAATAGGTAAGCTTGCTTCCCATTTCACACACATAAAAATAGAAGCAAAGAGAACCTCTACATACTTGTCCCACCCATCTACCCACTTACATGCATCTGACCTATCCTCAGTCGTCCCTACCTGACTCCTAAACTATTTTACTGTGTATTGAATCTCATTCCTTTCTCCTATTCGAAGTTCTTTGTTCTTAAAATTATCCTGCTTTCCTACATCAATTTCTCCCTCTCCTATCAAATCAGTAAATACTTACTGAGCATCTACTACATGCAAGGCACTGTTCTAAGAGCTGAACATACATTGGTGAACTAAACAGACAAAAATTAGTCAACTCATGGAGTTTAGTAGAAAGGTGTATATAAAAAAATGTTAAAGTCAAAATCTCCTGGCTCCCATATTCCCCTTAAATGCTGTCCTATTTCTCGGAATCTCTCAAAGCAAAATGTTGAAACAGTTGTCTGTGCTTGGTCTCTGCTAAACTCTAATTCTTTTGAATTAGCTTATCTCCACCACTGCTCCTCTGAAACTTCTCAACTAGATCACTCAACAACTCCATCTAATGTTATTTCTCTGTCTTTATCTCCTTTGGCCTTTCAGGAGCATTAGACCCAATTAATCACAGTCTCCTTAAAACATTTCTTCAATTGTCTTCCAAAATACCTCATTATTTTGGTGTTTCTTTTCTTTCGCTGGCAGCTCCTGCTCAGTCTCCTTTGCTGGCTCTTCCCCCATCCCAAACTCTAAATGTTGGAGTGCTCTATGACTCAATTGTCTTCTAGTCTCTATCTGTTCCTGCCCGCCCAGGGCGGAAAACCGCTTAAAGGCAATCTTAAGCCACAAACAACAGCATGACCGATCTGTGCCTTAAGGGCGTGTTCCTGCTGCACTTAACTAGCCCAACCTATTCCTTTAATTCGGCCCATCCCTTCGTTTCCCATAAGGGATACTTTTAGTTAATTTAATATCCATAGAAACAATGCTAATGACTGGTTTGCTCTTAATAAATATGTGGGTAAATCTCTGTTCAGGGCTCTCAGCTCTGAAGGCTGTGAGATCCCTGATTTCCCACTTCAGGCACCTCTATATTTCTGTGTGTGTGTCTTTAATTCCTCTAGCGCCACTGCGTTAGGGTCTCCCCGACCAAGCTGGTCTCAGCAACTCCCAATGTTGTATTTGTAAACTAACTCTTGAATTCCAGACTTGCATATTCAATTGCCAACAGGCATATAACCACTTGGATATGCTTAAACACTGCCAAAATGTAAATAGCAACTCCTATTTCCTCAAATGCTCAGCCCCAATACCTAGGAGTCATCCTTGCCTCCTCTTTCATAACCCACACCAAATAATTCCGCAAGTACTAGTGGTTCAATCTAAAAAATAAATCTATTATTTAGCCTCTTGTTATTGCCACCACTGCTACCATCCAGTCCAAACTACAACTGTTTCTTGATTAGAATCCTTCAACTCTTGAAACTGGTTCTCTCCTTCTATTCTTATCTCTTTATAGTCAACTTACCATAGAGAAATGAGGTCTTTTATAAACACAGATGATGTCATTGCCCTGCTTAAAATTCTCCAATGGCTTCCCATACATCAAGAACAAAAAACATTTCTTATCATGGATTACAAGGTTCAACATACTCTGGAGTTTCCATCTATGTCTCCAATCTCCCTTCCCTATTGCTTTTCTCATTCACTGTGCTCCAGCCAACAATGGCCTCCTTGCTATTCCTTGAACAGGCCAAGCATTAGGATCACTGCAACTGTTCTTCTGCCTTGAACTGTATTCTTCTGGGTTATACGGTTAACTTCCACAGTATATATTCAGGTCTCTGCTCAAATGGCATCTCCTCAAAGAGGCCTTTTCTGATCAACCTAATACAAACAGCATCCCTGGTCACTCTCTAACCCCTTAACCCACTTTGTGTTTCATCAACAAAGTTATACATACTTGACATTATATCAGATTTATTAGTTTATTATTTTTCTCTCCCACTAACATACAAATTCCAATAGGGATGAAGACCTAGCATTTAGAATAGTACCTAATATACCACAGACAGCCAATACATAGTTAATGAATAATTCAATGAAATAAATGAATTAACTGAATGAACAAATTATTTCTATCTATGAAATGTAGAAATTTCAATCCAAACAAGCTCCTGAGGGTGGAGGACTAGGGCAATACATTTGCCTATAACTGCTAGCATAGTAAAGTAATGGGAGTATAAATCATTGCCTGGGAGGCAGTTGCCAATGAAGTAAGAACAAATACCTGGGAAACACTGATGGCTTTTTTTGTTTTGTTTGTTTGAGACAGGATCTTACTCTGTTGCCCAGGCTGGAGTACAGTGGCACAATTACGGCTCACCATAGCCTCAACCTGCCAGAGCTCAGGTGATCCTTCTACCTCAGCCTCCTGAGTTAACTGGAACCACACGTGTGCACCACCATGCCTGGCTAATTTTTTTTCTTTTGTCTAAGATGGGGTTTCTGCCATGTTACCCAGGCTGGTCTTGAACTCCCAGGCCCAAGCAATCTACCCACCTTGGCCACCTAAAGTGCTGGGATTACAGGCATGAGTCACTGCACCAGGTTGGAAACACTGATATTTAAAGGAAAGACAGAGATAGAAGAATCTAAGAAATGATCTGAGAGGTCGGAGAAAAATACAGATTATACTGTCATGAAAGTCATGTGAGCAAAGAATTTCAAGAAAGGCAGTGTCAAGTATCAGAGAAAGGTCAAGTAAGATGAACATTACAGATGCATTGTAATTCATTCATTTATACAATGATATGGCAAAAGATCACCGATGACCTTCTCCAGAGCTTCATGAAATGATGTGGTGGAAATCTGAATAAGAAAAAAGTGGACATTCCTACTGTAGAAAAACAAAAGACTGGAACTCGATAAATTCAGATAGTAGAGTTAGTAGCTGAGTTACCCTAAGAAATCCCTGCTTCCCTCCAGTTTGAGTAGGAAATCCTATCTAAAGGCTGGGGAACAGAGTCAAAAATTTAATTTTAATATCATATTATACTGACGATATTGTTCAAGAAAAACTAAAAAATGGTCTCAAGTACATTCAACTTACACACATATTTTTCCTGTTACATGAAGTATACATACCTTTCCAACATGTCTCTAGTTTCATTGAGAAGTTTAATAGTGGTAATGTCTCGAGGAGAAAGTCCACAGGCCTATAGAATTAAAATGTCACACTTCAGGTTTTCAAACATGAGCATGGGGTTATGATGAAACTAATCACATTCATAAAATAAAGAGTTCAGGAAATCTAAAAGTCTATGTTCTATCAACAATAAAAAAAGTTAGATCTCCCTTCCCCCCCAAAAAAACGTGTAATGGTTTATGTGCGCAAATAAGTAGAATTTAAGACATGAGTAAAAGTAAATTACACTTAGTAAGATCTTTGTTTATCTGGCCCTTCTTGGATAGATTTCTAGTATAGTTAGACAAAGAAGAAATAGGTTTTGAGTTTGCAGAGGTCTGGGTTTGTTCTTTTTAAAATTGAATTTCATTATTATTATTTTTTTGAGACAGGGTCTCACTGTGTCATCCAGGTTGGAGTCCAGTGGCATGATCATAGCTTAAGTAACCTTGAACTCCTGGGCTCCAGTGATCCTCCTGCCTCAGCTTCCTAAGTAGCAGTTAGGCTACAGGCACACACCACCATGCTAATTTTTCATTTATTTTTTGTAGGGGTAGTGTCTTGTTATGTTTTCCAGGCTGGTCTCGAACTCCTGGCCTCAAGCCATCCTCTTGCCTTGGCCTCCCAAAGCATTTTTTTTTTTTTTAAGAGACAGACTGGGCAGTCTGGAGTACAATGGTGCAACCAAAGCACACCACAGACTCGAACTCCTGAGCTTAAAAATTCCTCCCTCCTCAGCCTCCTGAGTAGCTGGGACTATAGCTGTGCACCACTATGCCAATCTGGCTGATTTTTAAATTTTAAATTTTTTTTTTTTTTTTGAGATGGAGTCTGGCTCTGTGGCCCAGGCTGGAGTGCAGTGGCCGGATCTCAGCTCACTGCAAGCTCCGCCTCCTGGGTTTACGCCATTCTCCTGCCTCAGCCTCCCGAGTAGCTGGGACTACAGGCGCCCGCCATCTCGCCCGGCTAGTTTTTTGTATTTTTTTAGTAGAGACGAGGTTTCACCGGGTTGGTCTTGATCTCCTGACCTCGTGATCCGCCCGTCTCGGCCTCCCAAAGTGCTGGGATTACAGGCTTGAGCCACCGCGCCCGGCCTAAATTTTTAATTTTTAGAGACAGGATCTCGCAATGTTGCCCGGGCTGGTCCCAAACTCCTGGACTCAAGTGATCCTCCCCGTCAACCTCCTATGTTTTTTTCTTTCATCAGTAAGAGATTTTATCAGGATATGTGTGTGTGTGTTTTTACATCAATCTACTCTGAGACTCTATGTGTCTTTTCAATCTTAAATTTCAGGTTTTAATTCAGTTCAGTAAGATCTGGTCCATTATTTCTCTCTTCATCTGTTCTTTTGAATTGTTTTCTTTTTGGTCCTGTTTTGAATTTTGAAAACTGTAAATTACTTTAGAGTCCTAAAAAGATTTTTTAACACTCTTATTGCATCTCCTTGAGATTCTATTTTGTAAGCTGTCTCCTGTTTCATTAATTCTGTTCCATCTGTTCTGTTTGATCAGTTTAGTCTCTATCTTTCAAGTTACAGGGTTTCCTTAAATGGGATGCAACATTTTTTTTTGGCCTACTCATGAATATGGGATCTCTCAGCACCTAAACAGGTTCATCTTTGGGGTCTCTGGGAATGGGAAATCCTGCAGGCAATGGGAACTCCTGCAGGCAATGTAAACAAGGCATTCTGTTCTAACAGGTCCTCTACGCTGAGGTATGGCATAGGGGGCCTCTCTGTTCTAAGGCTTTTCCAGTTGTCAAGAGCGAGCTGTTCTCCCAATTACAAAGAATGGGTGCAAACCAGCAGACAAATGAAAAACTAGTAATTTAGGAAATGAGCCATATAACCTGCAATCTGGCATTTTTAGTATTCTTAATCAATGAATAACTTATATAACAACTATCTAGGACACACCAGTGTTTAGCAACACTATGGTTGATAATTTTTGGATTAGATCTTGTTGTTTCTGAAGTGGATGACTATAACCGCCTCAGTCCATTTTTGTACTTTCATCATTAACTTTTTTAAAAAGGAAAGGTGATTGTGTTACTGGACTGGTTAAAATCTACCTTTCTTTGTCTACAAATTGGAGTTCAGATTACTTATCTTGGCATACAAAGCTCTTTATAATCTTGCCCTGACCTTCAGCTCTACGTTCTGCTACTTGATCTGATACAAAAATACGCTGTAGCCCACTAATTGAATTTGTATCTTCAGTTCCCCAGGTGTAATAAACATGCCTTACTCATTTTACATCCCCAGCATACATCACAGTATGTACTGTCACATACCTGATAATAAAAATGTACTAAATAGCTAAAATTGTTAAGTGCTTCTAACTAGAAATCGCTCATAATGGCTATTTATTTTCTACGGGGTTTTACTTCAATTATTGAAATATATACCTTTCAATCACTTACCTTTCAAGAGACTCAGAAATCAAAATTTCAAGAGAGAGTAAAATTTTAAAAGTATAGAGTAACTGGTTTGGTTAAATGGTTATGAATTAAGCACCTGCACTGCTAATGGAGTTTCTTCATCTGGCATCATATAATGGCATAATAAAGATTTGGATCCATCTTTATTAATCCAAGAAGAAGACTTATGCTGCTCAACGAGATTTCTGATTTCTTTTAGTTTTTGCTCCAAGTCCAAAAGGGACAAAGAATGTTTAAGAGAAACACTAGAAACAGAGAAAAGGGAATTGGGATAAATCGAAACTATACAACACATCCTACATACACTCGTTTCTTAACAGGCTACTATCTAAAATCTTGTTTCTTCTGCTCACACCTGTACCTGCTGACTGGAATAGAATGGATTAAGAAATCAGCCACCAGTTAAGGGCCATTACTACAGAGCCAAGGAAAGTATTTCTCTGGATTTCATAAGAGAATTCCTACTGTAATTATAGATATTACTAGTATAAGTGGGAGGAAAAAGCCTCAGAGGCAGATTTTAAAGTAGGTCTTTTATCTCATGACCCAGATATTTCTGATTTGTATGAAATCAGTCAATTAACAATGAAATATTAAAACTTTCCCCTCTGTATAAAAAGGTTGATTCTGACAAAGAAAATGGATCTCATAACACAATATCCCAGGAAGGTATCTGATTAGATTACAAAGAGTTTCACAAATCACCATTTGTCAAGTCACTGGCTTCACTAGAACAATTCTAATTTTCTTTCATTCATCAGAATCAGGAAGTCAGAAAAGTCAAAGAAAAATGCCTTACCTTCCTAAAATCTTCTGCACAGCTTGTTTAATGACAGTGATCAATTCTGTCAGGCCTATTAAAGAAAAAACAAACCTAAAAGCCATCCTTAAAAATTCCTCAAAAATACAAATACATGAATTAAAATTTGTATAAAAGTCACAAATAAGAATCTTACCATCTCCAAGGAGGTGTTGAATACTTGATAAATATTGCTGTTGGACATCTGGGGGAGCAAGAATTGTCTGTACAAAATAGAAATACAGTTAAATTATCCAAGTTTTAAACTGGTAAGTAATGTTTTCAATATAACTGTAGGTGAGATTTTTCAAGATCTGAAGTGATAGGAAAAATAATATTTTTTAACATATCAAAAATTCTAGTTTCAAAGTATAAAAATTATTCATAATACTAAAAGTTCATAATCACATGAAATATAAAAATATTTATTTCACAGAAATTGTTACCAGGATAAATAAGCTAAACTTTGAACCGCTTGAGGGAAAGGATAATGTCTGTTTAAGTCTATTAAACTTACAGTGCCATTTTTGCCAACTGCTGCATTATCCAGGTAAATATATCCACCAATTATGTTTAACTGGACCCGCAAAAGAACAACCAGCATACAAGTACTGTATACAGCCACGATACTTCTTGTGAAACCTTCATAGAGAAAAGAAAACCATTTGGTACTGTGATTAATACAAATGTGTAAAATCATGAACCATCCCTATGGTTATTTTTTCATAAGATGACTTTTAAAAACATATTTACAGTTGTTTCTAGTATAAAAATATATCAATTCAAAATATTTCAGTCTCTCCTTACAAGTTGTTTAATAAAAATTAGGTATGATTCCTTAATTGAAACAATGACCAATAAAATATATTAGGTGAAAGAGGTATATATTATTAGCTTAGAAAGGAAAACAAGGAAAAGTCTGGGAAGCACAAAGAATTGCAGCTTCAGAACTCTTAGTTGTCAGTGGAGCTATTTTCAAGTAAGAGAAGAGGGCTGAGTGTGGAAGAACTCTAGCCTTCAATAGCAGCTCGAGGAGGATGAGCCTGTTTAAGGGTTTAAGGACTACAGGAAGGTACAGAAAGGCTGGGGAAGCTTGGTAAGACAGGCTTCCCAGTAGCCTAGGACCGGGTGTTCAAAAAAGAGGAGAGAGTGAAGGTGTTGACTGCTGCTGAGAGTCCTAGCAGGAGGAAAATGTCCAGTAGATTTGGCAACACAGAAGTTGTTACTGACGCTTGAGAGACCTGCTTGGGTGGAGACACAAGTGGTGGAAGCCAGGCTGTAGTACATCAAAGCATGAGTGGGAGTGAAGAAGAGAAGAAGGGGAATGTAGAAATCTTGGTCATAAGGATTATAAGAAAGAATAGGCCGGGAACAGTGGCTCACGCCTGTAATCCCAGCACTTTGGGAGGCTGAGGCAGGCGGATCACGAGGTCAAGAGATTGAGACCATCCTGGCCAACATGGTAAAACCCCGTCTCTACTAAAAATGCAAAAATTAGCTGGGCATGGTGGCGCACACCTGTAGTCCCAGCTACTCAGGGGGCTGAGGCAGGAGAATTGCCTGAACTCGGGAGGCAGAGATTGCAATGAGCCAAGATAGTACCACTGCACTTCAGTCTGGCGATAGAGCAAGACTCCGTCTCAAAAAAAAGAAAAAAAAAAGTATAAAAGCTGAAAGGAAATATAGGCAACTAGAGAGGTTTAATTTGTTTTCAAATAGGCAAGGCTTAAGCATCATTCTGCTGACAAGGATTAGCTGAATGGAAGGGAAAACAGGAATAACAGTTCTGAGACAAGCAGATATGTAGGCCCTGGTTTAGCTTTTTGTTACAATTTTTTATCACTAACAAAAGTTTACAATAAATATCAAAGTAAATCTATGATCTGGATTGGAATAAAAACTTCCTTTAAAGTACATTAGAGATATCAGTACCTAATAAAGGCATATGTAGTCTAGGACAATTTTACCTACCATCATCATCATCATCATCATCATCATCATCATCATCACAATAGCACTACCACTAACATTTACTGAATGCTTTCTATGTCCAGACATTGATCTACTTGCTTTATCTGTACTATATTATTTAACACTAACAACAATTCTAAAAGGCAGGTAAAGGAGAGTCATCCTAATAGAATGCAAACATTTCCCTTTATAAATATTTTAAGGATGTGCTGTCACACAGAATATGCAGGCTTACTTATTATCTTCAGATCCTCCCATATTTCTAGCTTGTTTGAAGGCCTAAAGGACAAAATAAAAAAAACAAAAATAATAATCTAGATAGTCTAATAGAAAACTCTGAATTTTACAGATCTATATTTATTTCAAAAAATTAAAAGCAACACAGCATAACTGCAGAAAAGCAAACCCACGAAATACAGTAAAAAAAAAAAATGTAATTCCAGTAATCAATAACCACTTTCACTGGTATATGTTCTTACAATCTTTTTCTCCTTGAGTGCTATGTATAGATATATTACAAAATCACATAGGAAAAGCAGAGGAAATGTTTCTTTCTTTCTCTAATTTGCTGTTTTAGAAATAATGAAGTAGGTCCTATAATCCTTCAAAGGTAAATATGAAGTATTTTTTTGTTTTACGATCATAAACACATGAATTTACACATATATTTCATGTGTATCAATCCACTGCAGTTATTATCTCTATCAATGTTCAAATTGCCCATCTTTCACTTCTGGAAGACTATTCACATTGGCTCCTGAATCCTTTTGATTTATATGATCTTTTATTAGTCTTTTACAGAATCCACAGTTTCTGACATGAAAACTTGTTCTGGGTTCATCTCGTTCCATTCTTGCTGCAGACTTGAAATCACCAATTTCACTGGGTCCTGTTTTCTCATAGCAGGGTAGAGACCAAAACCTTTGGTTAAGAATGTTCATTGCTACTGGGTAGGTCATTATTTCTAAGATTTTTCCAGTGAACTAAGCTAATAAATAAGTGTTTATTTATTTATTTATGCATATAATCAAAAAGGTAATATGCATCATGAATTCATACTGTTATTTCTAAATTAGTCAAAATTTAGAAAATTAGTCAAAAGGTTTTTAGCTTAATCTCATTGATTTCGCATTTGTATTTCTTTTTGTCCACACTAAAAACAGGTGAAACCAACATAATTACTAATTTGCTTCATCCCTCACTCTATTCACAACCGTCTCAGTGTAAAAGAGTTTAAGGTTTCTGTTTTTCCAATTCTTTGTGTGTGAAGAGTATATGGCCTACTAAGGATATACAGTCAAATTTCTGTTTCAAAGTAATTTAGCACAGTTTCTATCTTTGTAATTATACCACCAACTAGAATCATATATAGGTTAATTTGATTTATGGTACTATATAGTTTTGGACATTTTTTTAAACACTGTAGTTTTATAATATTAATATGATTCCCAAATCAAATTTATATAATACGGTGTATTCAAAAAAGTCTGTTCCTATTCCCCTTAATTTTCTCCCTTCTTCATAGGTGACTATTTAAAAAATGCTTAAACTTTCCATTGTTTTGTTTTATATAAGCAAATACGTATATATACATTTATATCTGCCCCCTTAGATAAGTGAAACATATTATACACATTTTTCTTTACCTTTTAAAAAATATAGCAATATATCTTCTGGAGATCATTCCACAGTACTACAGTAGTCCTTTCTTATCAACTTGAGGGATACGTTCCAAGACCCTCAATAGATGCCTGAAACTGAAGATAGTCCCAACCCCCTACATATACTATGTTTTATCCTATACATATGTACCTATGATAAAGTTTAATTTATAAACTAGGCACAGTAAAAAATAACAACAACTCACAATAAAATAGCACAACCGTAATATGCCAGCATAATTACTCTGGCACTTTGGGGCCATTATTAAGTAAAATAAGGGTTCCTTAAACACAAGCACTGTGATACCTCAACATCCAATCTGATGGCCAAGATGGATACTAAGTGACTAACAGGTAGATAGCATCTACAGCATGGATCTGCTGGACAAAGGGAGATTTCATCATGTTATTCACAATGGCACACAACTGAAAGCCTAAAAATCATTTATTTCTGGAATTTTCCATTAAATATTTTTAGACCATGGTTGACCATGGCTAACTGAAACCTTGGAAAGTCAAACCTTGGATAAAGTGGATGGGACTACTGTACAAAAATGGTAGCCATTTTCCTCTTCTAACCAAAGGATAGTACACCATATGTGGAGGTAGTTTAGAGCTTTTCAAACCACTAGTGGAATGATCAGTTTTTTTTTTTCCCTTTTCCTTTACAATCTGTCACAGACCAGTGCTTTTGCTAAATACAATAAATTACTAGAAAACATGAAATAAAAAAACCATAGATATAAAAAACACAAGTCCATAATCTTTATTATTATTTTCAGACCTAAATTTCCATTGCAAGAAGAAATTGAGTTACTATTACAATTTTAAGGATACTACTAGCTTCTTGTCTTTCTTTGCCAATGAGCAGACTGTATAGTTTCAGTTACCTCTTTCCTAGATGGCACAGGTTAAGAAAATGTGTTGAGTAACTCATGCAAGACACTGCTTCAACCTTAATCTAATCTAGTGTTCAAGACTCATGGCAGAATGTCATATGTATTCTGATTAAACTGGGAATCAACCACAATTCAAAGGTGAGGTATTTAATGTATCATAAGTAACTCATATCTCTTTTTGAATGTTCCCTCAGAAAAATTTCTAAGTACTTCTTACAAAAATTCTAAATGAAAAAAGATAAGAAAACAGTGATTCCGAAAATTTAAATATAGAAACTGCTTACTAGTGAGCCATGATTGTGCCACTGTACTTCAGCTTGGGCAACAGAGTAAGACTCTGTCTAAAAAAAAAAACCCAAAACCAAACGAACAAAAAACTGTATTTTATTTGGGATGATTTTGGTGGGAGAAGACAGTTATAGTTACCCAGGACATTTCTTCATGTTTACACTGAACGTTACTAGACCTTCAAAGTAGATTTTTAAATACTAACTTTAAAAAAAAACTCCAAAATCTACATAAAAGATTTCAAATCTATGCAGAAGAACAGAGAAAAGTGCTTTCAACGCAAATATTCCTTTCAAATGATTTGTCTAATGGAAATCAACTGCAAGTTAAATACAACCAGACTCTTTAATGTCACTAAAATATTCATAATAATTCTTAAACTTTAGGCCTTCATGAAGAAATAAAAAAAAAAAAAAGAGAGAGCGAATTAAACGAATCCTTTCAAAGTGTTCTACTTCTCTTATGATGGAGGATGTTTACGATTTTTTTTTTTGCATTGAAACTTCATTGCCAATTATCAGTCTTTAACAAGAGCGCCAAATATCAAAAACAGTGATAACTGTTTATTTGCTATTGTGAAGTTCGCAGAATAAGACTATCAAATCATCTACTCATTTCTGATTAGTTATTATCAAAAATAGTTTAAAGGAAAAAAAAAAAAACTTGCTCAACAGGCTTATATGAGACCAGAGTCTCATATAAAACTAATATAAAAGCAGTCGTAAGATTGGAGGCCTTATTTAATCACACTTTGTAAGGGATCAAGCCCTTATTTACGCAAATATTTTTCAAATGGATATTACCCTTCTCCCCCCACCAAATTACAAATAGTAATTTCAAATCAAAAGAAAGCCAAGAAAAAGTAACATTGAGATATTTAAAGACGAAACTGTGAATGAGGACAACTGTGGCCCATCTTAAATTCTCCAGAATTTAAGAAATTCTCCTCCTGTGTACCGATAAAGAAAAAGAGAATTACATCTTTTCTTTTTTTTTTTTTTTTTTTTTTTTTGAGACGGAGTCTCACGCTGTGTCACCCAGGCTGGAGTGCAGTGGCGCGATCTCAGCCTCCCAGGTTCACGCCATTCTCCTGCCTCAGCCTCCGAGTAGCTGGGACTACAGGCGCCCGCCACCACGCCCGGCTAGTTTTTTGTATTTTTAGTAGAGACGGGGTTTCACCATGTTGGCCAGGATGGTCTCGATCTCCTGACCTCGTGATCCACCTGCCTCGGCCTCCCAAAGTGCTGGGATTACAGGCTTGAGCCACCGCGCCCGGCCACATCTTTTCTTTAAAGCTGTCCAGGATTATCCATCAAAATTAATCCCTTGGTTTTTTTGATACTCCTATATTTTCCTTTTACTTTTTGTCATTGCACTAAGTATGTCTGGAATTATGATAATTTATTTAGTCTACTTCCTCCTTTGGATGAAAAGGTCTTAAAGAGACTTTATCTTAATTATTAAATCCCCTTTTAAAGCACATGGAACATAGGGCCTTGCAGGAAACAGATTCACCAAGAAGGAAGAATGCCATCATGATTATTTTATCTGTATTATGTTGCTTTTATAAAAATGCTATTCACTGATTTAATTTGCCTTGCCTTCTCATCATGACAAAATGTAAGGAAATTAAAATCTACTTCTTTTCATTCCTACCTATGTACATACAAACATAATAATTTATTTGATCAAAAGCAATCTGCTTATATGTTTCTTCATAAAACTGTATGAACTAATTTATAAGCTAAACCTTGTATCTGTAAGAAGGAAGGTCTGTCTACCTCTAAGAATGAAGAAATTTAAAACGGAAAACCCCTCATTACTAGCATTCTGTTTTAATCAGATACAAGAAATCTCAAGTACACAAATCCATTGTTATTTTGGGAAGTATTCTCTAACTATAGTAAGTGTTTTAAATAAAATTCCCCACTTGTTATGTAGCCTGTCTGAGCACTCAATTCCTATTGCAAAATGAATAATAGTAACTGCCTCACAGGGATATTTGTGTAAATTAAGTGAGAGCATATACGAAAGGTACCTAGCGCCAGGGCTAGCACAGTGAGACAGTTTAGAAACAGAACTGCTATTCCCCTGGCTATTTAGAGGGTGATTAAAGGCAAGTGATTATTTTAGGAAGGCTACAATGATTAACATTTATTTAGTGAAATCATTTCCCTGCCCACCCTCCCATCATTGTCATTAAAATAAGAACACATTTCCTGCTGGAAGTCTTCTCAAATTAATACAGTATCATACTGAATTACAATAACCCAACATATGCAACATGCAGTATACAAGGTTACATATGCGAAAGTGCTTTTGGAAACAGCAAACTGCCATGGCAATGTCAATTATTAGTATTGTATGCTCATGTTATGTTTGTATTTCATTTTGTTAGTAATTTAAAATATAAGTCCTGTATACCTCATTTAAAACGTATGTTCACATGGTTTATTACACTGTAAGCTCTTTCAGAAGCACGATATTTAACATAACTTTGTTAGTTTCACAGCATCTGGTTCAGGAACACATTTCACAAGCACTTCAATAATTAAATTTATGAACAATTTTGAAGTGCTATAAGGTCTATTTATATGAAAAACAATACATACAAATATCATTGCCTTGAATGCTTTGTGCAAAAAAGTAGAGCATAGACAAAATTAAATATGGATTAAATGATATAGTTAATATTTTTCTTACTGAGCCTATATAAGCTTTAATTAGACAGAAAAATAACAAAGATATTTGAAAAGGATATCAGTTCATTCTATAAACTTTAAGTGCAGTGCATGAACAGAAAATGCTGTAACTTGCATTTACCTGTTTTTTAGCAGAGCTGTGAGACTCTCGGAATTCAGTTGCTGCATTAAGGCCTCTCTCAGTGTTGGAAGCATGGACAGCACTGTAATACAAAAAATAAAATAAAAAAGGTCACAAGTGATATGACTGCCCTCACTAAGAAATACACATTGTTTTAGGCTATATGATAGGGCTAGCAACTAGAAAGAGTCACAAGGGAAAGTCAGGGCTAGACAATTCAAATTATTATTATTATTATAAAACTATTATATCCTAACAAATCATTTATCTGCTAATGTAATTTAACAAAATTATATAAACATTACAATCACAGCAACACAAACACGTACACACAGAAGAAAGAATAGAAAGAATTATTCTCAGATTTTAACAGTGGTGGTCTTTGAGCTACGGATTATGAACAATTCCTTTTTTTCTTTTCCATACTCTTCAAATTTTTTACAGTGTGTTTACTTCTGATATAATGGCAATGATCAAAAACATTTTTATATTCAGCTATACCTTTTGCTTCATTTTTCATTTCTAATTTTAAAAAAAGTTTATTTATTAAATAATACAAGGCAACAAACATTTATTATAACCTAGACAAAAGCATACTGGGTTAGGAACTAAGAGTTGCTGAGTTTTAGTTTGTCAGTGGGTATTATTTGTTACTGTTTATTGTAAATGTTTACTGTTTGTAATACTACAAAGCAATAAACATTTATTATAACATAGATAAAAGTACACTAGGTTAGAAACTAAGAGTTGCTGAGTTTTAGTTTTGTCAGTGGCTGCTGTTTATTGTTTGTTACTCCCAGGAATAATGTGAAGACGAAATGAGACTAGCAATCTATGGGAAAAAAACTTTTTTAGGAGTTTATCTGTGGCTCTGCATGTGGAATAAGAAATGTAGGAGAATAAGAATCTGTCATGGGATCAGAGAAAAAAAAGAAATGGAGAAATACACACATAAAAATGTAAAATGAGTTTCTAAATCCTAAATAAGTAATGATAACAAAATGAAAAAATATGAAGACTACCACATTCCTTCTTTTTTTTTTTGAGACAGAATCTCACACTGTCACCCAGGCTGGAGTGCAGTGGGGCAATCATGGCTCACTGCAGCCTTGACCTCCTGGGCTCAAGCAATCCTCCTGCCTCAGACTCCCGAGTAGCTAGGACTAGAGGCGTGGGCCTCCATGTCCAGTTAATTTTTAAAATTTTTGGTACAGATGAGGTCTCACTATGTTGCCCAAGCTTGTCTTGAACTTCTGGGCTCAAGCATTCCTCCCACCTTGGCCTCCCAAAGTGCTGGGATTACAGGTGTGAGCCACCACACCTGGCTATGAACACCGCATTCTAAAAGCAAAAACTTCTTAGGTAAGAAAACTACTTATATTTACCCCAAAGCACTCATTTTTTTTCTAGTATATCAATTACGTCTTATCCAAAAGAATAGAAATTTGATCATATTATTTGTAACCCCATTATCAATGTTCATGTTATGCACTGTACAAAAAAATGCAGAACGTGCAGAAAGCTAATTTGGAAAGTTTTCATTGAACCTGTATTTTGGCTCGTAGAGATCAAATATTTTACTTTTAATTGCCTATAGTCAGCTATTTGTTCATCTTAGGGTTGCGTCATGGAAATGTGTGACCCCTATCTTTTGTTGGAGGAGCATAGTTAATTGACAACCCCAGCTGCCACTCCTCTGGATCCATTACCATGTTTGCACTGCTCCCAGCCAATGACACTGCTTGGACGGGGACACTAAAGCAGGCCCATTTCTGCAGGTCTCCTCTACCAGAAACTGTGGCTTGCAGACTCCTCATTGGTCTCCCAACACTTTCTTAGAACTGTGCTGTAGTCTGAGACTCTTCTTGCCTAATCTTTTTCCTTCCTTGTCTTCTTCCCTGCACAAGCGTCAGACCTGCACTGTGGCCTAAACGCTTCACCTGCCTTCTTCTGCCTCCCTTACTCTTTATTCTTTACAGGCATTTCTACTAGTAGACCTCTGGGACATCTAATCCCATCCTAGCATCTGCTTCCCAGAGGACCCAAATGGACACAAGGGTCCATGTCAAACTGAGATGTATTTTAAGACCCCAGCAGCTACATTTTACTTTTCTTTTTGAGACGGAGTTTCTCACTCTTGTTGCCCAGGCTGGAGTGCAATGGCATGATCTTGGCTCACCACAACTTCCACCTAGCGGGTTCAAGCAATTCTCCTGCCTCGGCCTCCCAAGTAGCTGGGATTACAGGCATGTGCCACCACGCCCGGCTAATTTGTCTTTTTAGTGGAGATGGGGTTTCTCCATGTTGGTCAGGCTGGTCTCAAATTCCTAACCTCAGGTGATCCACCAGCCTCGGCCTCCCAAAGTGCTTGGATTACAGGCGTGAGCCACTGCGCCTAGCCCATTTTAGTATTTTTTGAAAATTCAAATAATAACCAGAAATGGACCATTCTCTAAAAATTCATTAAAATGTCCTAGGCAGTGCCAATACATTGAAGGGTGAATGTCAATTTAAATAATTTCGTAATTTTTAAGAAGTTATTATTTACCGAGTATTTATTATACATCAAGCACTTTATAGGCATTACCTCATCATGGCCTCACAAAACATTTTTGAAGTGGCTTTTATAATATTTATTTTACTCTCAGAATTGTTATGTATAGTATTTATGATTACTATTTGCTTTGTAGAATGAAGGTATTTTTCTGAGTATTACTACTTCAAATACTAAAAGTCATACTCTAGTTGTAATTTTGAATGTGTCTCTTACCCTTCTTAGTCTCAGCCTCAAGTAAAATGAGGTAAGTAAACTAATAATAGAGGCCTTTAATGCTAAAAAATTTCTACTTTTAAAATTAAATAAGGAGAATGTACCTTTATAAATTCTTTCTAAATTAATTGTTCTTGAAAGAATGTTAGAGAAATGAATAAGCCTTAAACAATAAAAAAGAAAAACAGGCTTTGCATGGATTTGAGAACTAGTTCTTCAACAGTTATGCCAGTTAGAAGACACTATATGCGCAAGTTGATTTTGTGATGCATTCACCCAGGACTATGTTTCTAGCTGTGGAGGTTAAATTATTGCCATTAATTAACATTGCCTGAGTGTATACTACTGGAGCTGACTCACAGGTCTATTGTTGCCTACTGTAAATTTAATAAACGTAATGACTCTTTCCTATGGCCCATATGCCCAGTGGGATCAAGCCTACTTCTGCAGCCTTTTTCCTATCACTGCCATTTTCATTCTGCTCTAGCTACATGGCCTTTTTGCTGTGTCCTGAAAATACCAAGCTTGATCACGCCTCAAGCATTTTGCATGGCTCCCTCCATTGTAACATTTGATTTCTGCTCAAATGTTACCTCAAAGAAACCTGACTGTACTGATCCCCTGTCTTACAGAACTTCTCAGTCCTCACATGGCTTTATGTTCCACCTGGCAGCCATCACTGCCTAAAGTTACTTATTTGTTGTTTATCATCTTTTCCTCTCCCTAGAATATAAACTCCAAACGTCAGGGGCTTTTTGTTGTTGTTGCTCACTTCCTGCTTCCCCAGGCGGATACAAGCATTTGCTAAATGAATTTAGTATTTGCTAAATAAAATGAATGAACTGATTTTTAAAATTCATATTAAAATGATGTAATACAGTTAAATCATTCAAATACTTGCTAGATTTATCATCCTTTCTTTGCCTTTTCCTCTAAATTTGATCCTGGTGATATGCAAATTAATATAAATCATCAAACAACTTTACCCATGTATAAATATTTCTCTGTCTTACCTGTCATATTGCAAGTCCTCTGGTTACTTTCAAAATGATATTGTCGTCGCGCTTGGGCAATGTATTCTGCAGCCTCCCTTTCCTGTATTTCTCTGATTTTCTTCTGCCCATATTTCCCCAGAATATATACTCCTATAATCATTTAAAAAAGTACTATATTAATTAGAGTACCAAAAATTCTACACAGTATTTTTAACCTACTTTATCCAATTATAAGTTTTACATTAGTGGATACCTAAAATTACAACATTTTAAAACCTAAATAAAGAATTGTGTAAGACTGGCCCAAAGAAAAGGAAATCAGCATTTTAAAAAAAATTTTTTTTTATTTTTACTAGTTTAATAATCAAAAGTGTCATATTCTCATCAGTTTCACCATATTCTATGAACAGTGTCCTAAAGCATATTACTGGTCATCAACTATGATTATAAAGAATGAAGTGATTACGAGAATTGCACATGACCTAGTTGAGAAATCAGCATTTTTATAGTCAATGACAGAGGAAATGATGGGCACATAAGGACTAGGTTTGAAGAAGGGAAAGGAATTAAATCTAAAAAGTCTGGCAGTGCCTTTACTAGTAGACTAGAGATATTCTAAATGTCCAGCAATGGAGAATTGTTTAAATAAATGATAGTCTAGTCATACAATGAAATCTTATGCAGGTATTAAAAACCACATTGCTAAATAAATAATGATTCAAGGAAATATCCACGTTACATTGTTAGGTGATAAAATAAGATCCCAGAAGTTTTTACTTTTTTTTGACGGAAACACATACAAAAAATAGGTGAGTTTTAATTTCTAAAATATAATAAGCAATGATCATTGCTGAATGGTGGGATAATAGGTCATTTTGTCCTCTATATTTTCTTCAATTAACACAAAATACATTTTAAAAATATAAGAAAATTTTTAAAAGGAACAATGAAAGAAAGGTAGTTAGTCAGGCAGAAGTCTATTTATCCATCCATGTGTTAGAAAAATCTCTTTGAGATAAGGACAGGAAATATAACTCATCTAAAAATTAGTAACTTGATTGGAAAAAAAAGAGGAAAGAGGGTACAGAAACTCCTAAATTGTAACACCACAGGATAAGAATATAGGTAGTGTCATGCGGCCTGTAATTTAACAGATTTCAGCATAGGCAGTATGATATAAGTGTGTACATTTTGGTCTATATCTGAGGGGCAGTCAGTTTTCCTAGCTGGGAATGTGAACATTCCAGAGTGGTTAGTTAGCCACACTTGATCAAAAACCACATTCCAAGTTAAGCTCTTCAACTAGCTTTTATCACCGATCAGCACCAAATATCTTTTAATTAGCATAATGAGTATCAGGAATGGATTTTCATAGATTAAATTACTGGTTTTCAAGATACTGGACTAGCTAAAACAGTTTAGTCATATTCATATGAACCAGAATATACGAATCCAGCAAGTCCTTCACCTTTGCCTGAGATCCTTAGTTGCTAGTTCAAAGGATTCTTAGTCAAGTGAGTTAACCAGGTAGCCAACCGAATCCTACAGCTAAAATACTGTTGCATTTTCTTCAGGTAGATCTTGTATAAGCAGTTCTGTGGTAGCATGAAACAAGGACAGAACACTGGGACTTCAACAAGCTTATAGAACAGGTTGTGTTAACTTTTCATCTCTGTTTGCCAGTAGATGTTTTTAAGTGTGCCAGAACTTGGTTTCATTATAACCTGAGAGCAAGGTTGTAAGGAATTAAGTAATGCTCACTTACTTCCCACTGCCTATGACCTCCAGTATCTACTAAAAATAACCTAAGAATTGTGCATGACCTAAGTAATTAGATTTGGTTTGTCACAGGTAGAAAGTGAACTGCAAAGCAGATACATATCCTGAATTTATTTTCACTAATACAGGTGTTATGATAAGGTGAACTGATAAGATATTACATATTCTTAAAAATAGTAGTTCAGTAAAAGGGTATGTGCTAAAAACAATTAGAACTACAGTTTGATTGTTGTTGCTATATTTATATGCAAATTAATGTATTATAACCAAACTTAAAGAAGAAATGAGAGTTCATATTAAGTGCCTTCATGGCTACCTTTCCTGTACTCCATTCTAAAGAAACTGATGATAGTGCGACAATACCAACAAAGGAAATTGACTTATATTTCACAAAGTTACTCTATGACAGGCAACTCTGACATAATAGATCTGAAGGAATTGCTTGTATCTTATCTGCACAACAGCTTACTGAAAGTCACATGTAAAATGATTATATCTCAAATTATACTGTAAAATCAAACACTAAGATGACACTTTTTCCACAGGTAAGAATTTTTTTCTTCAATAATAGTAAATTTGATTGATGTGTTTTTCTGGGGAGAAGGTCCACTGCTTTAATCAGAGTCTCAAAAAATCTGATAACTTTTTTAAGGAACTGTTATTTAACACATTTCAGCATAGGCAGTATGATATAAGTGTGTACATTTTGGTCTATATATGAAGGGAAGTCAGTTTTCCTGTGTGAAATTTTCCTGAATGTGAAATGAGAATGTGAATATTATAGAGTGGTTAGTTAGCCACACTTTGATATTCTAACTAAACTAAAAAAGAAAATGAATTGTTATGGGTTGAATTGTGTTAACCCCCAAATTCATATGTTGAAGCCCCAACACGTCAGAATGTGACCTTATTTGGAAATAGAATCTTTACAGTGGTAATCAAGTTAAAATGAGGTCATTAGGATGGGTCCTAATTCAACAAGACTGTTGTCCTTATAAAAGGAAACTTGGACATCAACAATTGCAGAGGGAAGACGAAGCAAAAACAGAGGAGATGACCATCCATGAGCCATGGTGAGAGGGTTAGAATAGATCTTTCCCTTATACTCTGCAGAAGGAACCAATCCTGATCTTAGACTTCTAAACTTCAGGATTGTAAGATAATAAATTTCGGTTGCTTAAGCCACTCATTTTGTGGTACTTTGAAATGAGGCTACAATCACACAATCCATTATTTTTCTTGAGTTTAGCCCTGAACTAAGTTCTTATACAAGGTCTAATTCACCTAGGCTCATAAATTCTGATTTTGTCAGATTTGTCCCCCTAGAAAAATAAGAATGAGGACAGGTAATTCATTAGCTAAAACATGGCACTCATGACTATCTACATACTTGACTAGCAGTCTAGCCTGGAAAACAGGAGATATTGACGGCTCTGGTATCAAATAGGTGACTTTTGAGAAAGTCCCTTCCTCCCTCTGTGTCTAAATTTCTTCATTCATAAAATGAAAGACTGAGATTATATGAGCTTTAATATTTCTTTTGTAGCTATGATTTTACATATTAACAATGAAAATATTTACTAAATACCTTAAAAAATAAATGTCAAATGCTTTGAGTTTTCCTTTAATAACATTACTAGTAAAATAACACTTCTAGTCTTTCCACAAGTCAGTTGTTTTAAAACCATCTCGTAGTATTCTCTTTCTGGATGAAAATCCCTACAATGCAACTATTTCACAAGGTTAATAATTTCAAAAAGAGTTTGAAAATAACCTATTAACATTGTTCCCAATCCAACAGATCACCAAATCCTACTACAGTATTCTGATTCTATTTCAGACATATTTTCTAAATCTTGCCAATTATCTACAACTTCTTTATCAGTGTCTTCACTTAGACCGTAAAAATTAATGCTCTTGAACTGCTTCAATAGTTCCCTAACTCTTCAGTTTCTGGTCACACACCTGTTTAGCCCATCTTATACATGCAAAGTGATTTTTTAAAAACATAAATCTGATTATATCACTCATGCTTTTAGAATCCTTCAGCATCTTGCCATCATTTCTTAATGTGGTTTTCCTGTTCCACTCACATCAGAATTACTTGGGACAATTTAAAATGTAGCCTTAAAGGACACTCCTTGAAAATACCCCCAAATGTCTTATTTTGCATGATGCTGCACCCCCAGTACATAAACTCTGATTGGGATTCAGTCAGAATTCAATAAATATTTGCTGAATTAAGGAATTCTTGAACTGCATTCTAAACCTAAAGAATCAGAATCTGGAATAAAGGATCCTACGTTTTATTAAACTCCTTAAGTGATTTTTTTAAATCCATACTAAACTCCAGGAAGCACCAATACAAAGGATAATATCCAAATTATGTAGAATGGCTTCATAAGGCCCTTCACAATCTGTACTCTAGTTGCTTTTCCAAGTTAATCTTTTGCCACTTCTCATTTGCACAGCCATAGTGAAATATAGTTTCATTCATAAAAGCAATGTTGCTGAACCTCTTGAATAGCTCTTTTTCTTGCTGTGTCCTTTCTCCTTTGCTAGTTTTAAAACTTAAGTAGAAATTCTTCCTTATGAAGCTTTGCCTGACATCTTCACACTTTCTTCTCCTCTATGCTCCCACAAGACCCTGCCCTATTTTCATACTATACTATCATACTACTTTTGTTTATTTCCATTTCTGTACCATGAGTTCAAAGTCAGGATCTGTTTTATTCCTTTGTATTTCCAGAGTAAAGTACAGTGAGAACAGGCACTTACTCTCATTCAAATGTTTGTTCAATGACAGAATGAATGAATGAATGAACGAATAAAAAATGTGAAGAGGCCAGAGATTACAGGATTTAAGGTATAAATCCAAGTCAATATTCTGAGTTTTTTAGAAACCAGCAAGTCAATAAATATGAATCTGGTTGCTCTCTGTTCTCCAATACTTTTTCCAGTGCAATGGTTCTCAAAGTGTGGCAAGGGCACCCCTGGGGTCTTTAAGACCATTTCAGGGGGTCTGTAAAATCAAAACTGTTTTTGTAATAATACTAAAATGTTATTTGCCTTTTTCATTCTCATTCTCTCTCATACTCATACTCTCTCATGAGTATACAGTGGAGTAATTCAGAGGTTACATGCTGTGTGATATCACAACTGACAGAATATAGAAAGAGATGAGAATCTAGCTTTCTTCAATTAAGTCAAACATTAAAAAGATTTTCAAAATGTAAAACAATGACACTCATTAATTTTTTGAAAATGTTATTTATGTTAATATGTAATAGGTTTTTTAAAAATGAATTAATATTTAAATTTTCATTTTCATTTTGAATATCATAACTATTAATAGATATAAAATTTAGAAAGCTTTTGAGGGTCCTTAATTTTTCAGAGTATAAAGGAGACCTTAGACCGAAAAGTTTGGGAGTCAATTCTCTAGCCTTTTCACGAACTGATCAAATTATGCCAGGCTCAGTGGCTCAGGCCTGTAATTCCAGCGCTTTAGGAGGCTGAGGCAGGACGACTGCTTGAAGCCTGGAGTTCAAGACCAGTCTGAGCAATGTAGTGAGACCCCCATCTCTACAAAGTAATTAAAAATTAGCCAAGCCTGATGGTGCACACCTGTAGTCCTAGCTACTTGGGAGGCTGAGGTGAGAGGATCACATGAGTGAGGAAAGTGTGAAGCTGTCAGGCAAATCTTCATAAGGAAGCCTTTCTACTTGCCTTACATTGTAAAGCTAGCAAAGGAGAAATCAAGGCTGTAGTGAGCTATGATCACACCACTGTATTTTAGCTTGGGTAAAGAGCAAGACCCTGTCTGGAAAAAAAAAACAAAAACAAAAACCGAACACACCCAAACACCCAAAACTGGTCAAATTATACAAACTGGTGTAAACCAATTAGTTACCCATCTAAAATTCAAGGAAACAGAAATCGTTACTTAAGAAGGCCAGCTACTGAAGGTTTTACTTACTTATTTCCCCCACTATTGAATGGCCAAACTTCTCTAAGCATGCCTGTTGATATACTGTCCAGCTTTCGAGCCTGTCAAAATGTGTCTCTTTTTCCATGAAATTCTTCCTGATTTTTCACAACTGTATATGCTACTTGCCAGTGTGATCTGTACAGCATTTTTTCACCTCTCTTATTTTTCTGTATTGTAATTACATGTATACTTGCTTTTCCTTCCTATCAGACCATAAAGACCATGGAAGCACAGTGATATAATGTGGAAAGAGAATGTGCTTTGGGGTCCAACACACCTGGGTTTGAATTCCAGTTTCCCTTCACTAATTCTGAGACCTGAGGCAAGTTTCTTAAATTCTTAGGGCTCTTGTTGCCACATTTTTGAATGGGGATAATAATAACTGCCTTCTTGTCATTCTGCCTAAATAGGAAGAGCTTAGCACAATGCCCAGTGTAAAGTGGGCTCCCAATAAATAGTAGCTGTTACTATTAAAAATCTATAAATCTTGTATTTCCATACATATTACTTTCAGCACTACAGGTACTTGATAAATATTTCTTAAGTCAGATTAATTAAAATCTAACATACTGTAGAACTTTCTCCCTGAAGCAGAAAGAATACGAGGCTCAAACAAATGCCAACCATGGTCATCTACTCTTCCTTTCTTTTCAGACTGACTCCTTTATTGATATAAAACACTAGGATTATTTTCTCTTTCTGTCCGTCTGAACTTTTCTTTTTTTGCATTCCTCTTATTCTGTAACTATAAGGCCCTTGTTAGATTTTTTTTTTAAATTATAAATTTCTTTTAAGTATACTCTTTTGCTTCCCCTGTGATTATTTCTAATTTACCGCAAGGTTGTTCCATAAGCTGAAGGAGTATTCCTTCTGAGATTGTTAGAGATAATTTTCCTTCCTTCGGTAAAGGCAAAAATACTTTATTTGTATTGCTTCAATCACACATCTATTTTTAGCTTTTATAAATAAAATGGACTCGGTAGTCTTAGGATAATTTAAATATACATTAGATACTAGAGAATGAAGATCTCAGAAAATACCTTTTATATATAAAGGATATAAAATTTACACGCTTATTATTGATCTGTGATAGATGTCAGAGGCATGCAAACACCATCCTTGGCTCAGCAACAAGAACTCTGTTTCAAACTTTGAAGCATCACCAAAATCTGAACTATTGATGCTAAAGGTATTGTTAATTGCAAATTGTTTGGGGAGAACAGAATACAATCTAATAAGTATTGTTAATTTCAAATTGTTTGGGGAGAACAGAATACAATCTAATATGTATTGTTAATTTCAAATTGTTTGGGGAGAACAGAATACAATCTAACACTAAGAGAAAAGCCAACCAAATTCTTTGGGAACCTCTGTTCTTTATTTTAAGTACTTCTGTAAACACAGCACATAATAAGTGATAAGAATATTTCTCAAAAACTCAAGTTACAACAAATTTCCTCTTTTAAAGTTCCTAGATGTTCTTTTCATATAATTCACAAAGCTTTTTATTCCCTCCTTCAAATCCCTGAATATTATCACATGAGCATTGTATGAGGGAAAAGGGTCTCAAGATTTTTATCTTATCTGTTTCTAAATCTCCTCTGGGCCCGTGCAACTTAGCTATGTCAGTTAGATTACAATGATCCCAACCTTGAAGATCCTGAGGAAGACTGCGCAACATCCCTCAAGCATTTTTCTTACTGCCACAGTTTGTATTCTAAAATGGCAGAAACAGAGCTAAAATATTGATTTGTTTTTCTTTACCTAATCCATATCTTTCAGTCCTTCAGGACAACTGCGCTGTTTTCAAAAATTCAAATCGACTTTAACCACCACCTAGATTATTATTAAACTCCCTCCCCTAGATTATTATTAAACTCCTGAGAGTTTATTATTATTTATTTATTATTTATTATTAAACCACCTCCCCTAGATTATTATTAAACTCCTGAGAAGGCTGAGAGCCATAGTGCCAAGAGTGCCAAGGAGAAATGAAGAATCTCACAGGAAAGCAGATTTTTTTAAAAAAAGTTCCTGTAACAGAAACTTAAACTGTACTGAATTCTCCAAAGGTCCGTGAGAAAAAAACGATAGGTGAGAAACAGTTAAGAGGCGGTGACAGGGCAAAGGGCACAGAGGCATTTCTCAACTGCAGAGATGGGAGAACCCTTGAGGTTGGCCACCTCCCTTTCCATCCCATGGTTGATCGAATCCCTTCTACAGATCCCAGACTAGGCTCGCCCCGGCCTGTTCTTATTTTAGAAAAAGTCACCTCTCCCACTCCCTTCTCCCAATGCCCCCTTTGAAGAACGTTGTCACCCACCTCCAAGGACCGTGCCCAGGAAGATGCATTTCTTTTTGTGGCGTTTCAGAAAATTCCATACGGACCTCAGCATCTTTAGGCCCTAGGGGTGTGCGCTGACTATGAGTGAGGGGCTGCTTCACCGGGAAACTGTTTCTTCGTCACCTGGCCCAGATGACCAAGCAAGAGCGCCGTCGTCCCGCTCTGCGCTCTCCCGAAATCACAAACGTGGCTTTCCGCAGACTGTCACCGGAGCGGCAAGGGGGCGTGGACTAGAGCAAAGCAGCTGCGCTTTCTGCTGCTGCCGCGGCGCAGCCGCCGCTGCTCACTGGTCCGACACGCCCAGGTCCGTTCAGAAATCGCTCCCGAGTGCCTTTCCATTCGACTCCCCCGGAAACGGGGGCCCGGGCCCGCCGCGTTCCGCTGCCCGCGCTCCTCCTCCGCGGCGGCCTTTGGCGCTGAGTGGTGGCCGGGTATGGAGGCGAAGGCGGCGCCCAAGTCAGCTGCAGGCGGCGCGTGCTCGGTGTCGGCAGAAGAGACCGAAAAGTGGATGGAGGAGGCAATGCACATGGTGAGGCGCCCGGGAGGTGAATGCTGCGGGGTGGGACCTTTCTCCAGCCCTCACCCCAACCACGGCATTTGAGCAAACGTTCTTCCTCGTCACCATAATTGTTATGGCAGTCAGATGTTCTGGGTGAACTACTGGCTTTACTGCCTCGAAACTTTCTGTAGCCCATTCTCACAGTGACTCTGGGCGAAGGAAAGGGAGGAAATACAGAAATTACTTGTTTCATTGGGGTGGAGTATGCTGCAGACTTAGCATTCTGTCGCTGGCTGGCACGTGCTGCCTCCCTTTCCTTTCTGTGGTCACACTCTCCAATCTACAAAGTCACATTATTTGAGGTTTTGGCCCCTGGACCATGTCCAGCAGAAGGAAGGAAACTGAGAACGTTTCTGGTAGAGAGCAGTATGGAAACAAATCCCTGTAGAATCGGTGTCTCGCATTCATTCATTCTTTCCTCTGCCCTTTTACGTCCTTCCCTCACTCCCTTCAGGTCTGCGGAGTAAAGGGGGCTTTCAACAGAATGGTGTGTGCTAGCGAGCTTCTTAACTGGGAAAATAGTTTGTTTGCAAATATGTATATTTACATTTTAATAACTGTACATACAGCCGCGTGCCACATAATGACCTGTCGGTAAAGGTCGTCATCCTGGAGCATTAAATCTACTCACTTTAGCCCTATTGTCCCATCCAAGTACTAACCAGACCTGACCCTGCTCAGCGTCCGAGATTGGGGGACGTTCAGGGTGGTATGGAGGTAGACAACACTAGTCTCTATGTAGACTTCTGGGCTAAACATTTTTGCTACCTTTTAGGTCGACCTTGGGCTAGCACAAGTAAATACATTTACATACGTTTACAAACAAACTGTTATCCCAGTTAAGAAGCTCGCTAGCACTTTTCAGCTCCGTTATAATCTATAGGACCACATATACAGCAGTGGTCCTATAGGATTATAACGGAGCTGAAAAGTTCCTATTGCCTAGTGACATGTAGCCCTCCTAACAAGTACTTTTTTCCCTTTAAGACCTTGAAGAAACATGTATATGCCAAAACCCAAGAAGCAGCTGCCTCCTTAGTCTTGTGTAGGAAGAGGTAAACTATGGAATCACATCCCTAGGTGTTTATAATACAATTAAGAGACAAAAATTTCAAAGCCAGAGAGGTCTAGAAATTCTTTGAAAACATCTACATGTTTAAAAAGATAAGATACAAAGTATCATGGCCAGATGCAGTGGCTTATGCCTATAATCCCAACACTTTGGAAAGCAGAAGCAAGAGGATCTCTTGATCTCAAAAGTTGAAGAACAGCCTGGGCAACATAGCGAGACCCTGTCACTACTAAACAAAAATTTAAAAATTAGTAGGGCATGGTGGCATGTGCCTGCAGTGCCAGCTACTCAGGAGGCTGAGGCAGGAGGATTGCTTCAGCCTTGGAGATTGAGGCTCTAGTGAGCCATGACTGTGCCACTGTACTCCAACCTGGGAGACAGAACCAGACCCTGTCTCAAAAAAGAAAAAAAGATACAAAGTAAAGGAAATCGCAGAGAAGGAAAATATTTGCGACATATATAAAAGGACAGGTTTAATAACCGTAACATAGAATTTATATAAAATCTAAGTACTTTCTGAAGTAAGAGGAAATATGTATACCCTAATACTGAAAAGGTCAAAGGATATGAATATATTTCTTTTTAAAATTTCCTTTTATTTTTATAAGTGTTTTTTTGTTTAGACAGGGTCTCTCTGTGTTGCCCAAGCTGGTCTTGAACTCCTGGGCCCAGGCAATCGTCCCACTTCAGCCTCCCAAAGTGCTGGGATTACAGGTGTGAGTCACCACACCTCACCTGAACATGATATTTCTAAAAGAAGTGACAAGTAGCCAGCAAATGAATGAATACACAATTTCACTATTAATGAAATTCAAAGTAAAATGATACACAATTTTTCACCTGTTAAATTGGCAAACGTGAAAGCAATTTTAATGCTTGGTGATAATAAGGATGTACATGTTTGAGGTGTTTGTTGGTTGGGAGGAACTGAATTTAGAACACCCTTTTATTAGGACAATTTGGCTAGGTAGATATAAAAGGCCTTAAAAGTGAGCTTATCCTTTGATCCATTAATGCCCCCCCTTTTTTTTTTCCCAAAGTGAAAATATTTTAATGTTTTCTTTTTCTGATTATGTAAATAATTCATGGTCATAAAAAATTCAAACTATAAAAAAAGGTTAACAAATTATGTAAAAATTACCTGGCAGTCCTATCATTAGAGATAATACTATTAGTGTTTTGGGAGCATCCTTCCATATCTCTCTGTCCATATGTAAACAGCCATATGTACTTTTGCATAAATGGATTTACATGTTCTCTTTTTGATTATCAGCACATTTTTTTGGTAGTCTTAATATATTAATCACTCCTCCCTACCTCATGGTATTTCTGTTGCTATGGAGTGACTATCAAAAATGGGACAAAGGATGTATGTGCTTTGAAATTATATAGATACTCCTGTATTGCCTTATAGAACCATGATGCCCAATATCGTAGTCACTAACCATGTGTAGCTATTTAACTTTAAATTAATTAAGGTGAAATAAAATAAAATCCAGCTCCTCAGTTGTGTTAGCCACATTTCAAGTAGTCAGAAGCCACATATGACCACTGGCTACCATATTGGACAGTGCAGATCAAAGGATATTTCCATAACTACAAAAGGATTTGTTGGATAGCATATAAAGTTATCAACTTTACTACTTCTTAGGTTTCTTTCTGAGAGCTAAGCATAGCATCATCATAGGTTATTGTTTTAATCATCATAGCATGTTCAGCATAGCATTCTAAAGATAGGCTTGGAAAAAAAAAGTATGACTAAGTAATAGTGTTGCACTCTTGGTGTGTTCCAGATACTATGCTATGCACAGTGTTTTCATGTGGGCCATGTCATAAGCCCCACAGCAGCCCTATCAGGTGAGTATTATTATGGTCCTCATTTTCAGATGGGGATATTGAAGCTGAGAAAGTTCAGTAACTTTCCCAAAGTTAGAGAGCTGGTAAGGATGGGGCTGTGACTTGAGCCCTGTCGTCTGCTGTCAAATACTGGCCTAGCCTGCCTCTTGGTGTTAGGTAGCTCACTGCTTGCCAACATATCCTCTGCTCTCTTTCTTCCTTTTCAGTTTCCTTACCCGGAATACTGTGTAATTTAATTGGACATTTAGATTTTTTTCTTTTGTGAATTGCTGAGGCATATACTTTGCCCATTTTTTTTTTTTTTTTTTTGAGACGGAGTCTTGCTCTGTCGCCCAGGCTGGAGTGCAGTGGCCGGATCTCAGCTCACTGCAAGCTCCGCCTCCCGGGTTCACGCCATTCTCCTGCCTCAGCCTCCCGAGTAGCTGGGACTACAGGCGTCCGCCACATCGCCCAGCTAGTTTTTTGTTATTTTTTAGTAGAGACGGGGTTTCACCATGTTAGCCAGGATGGTCTCGATCTCCTGACCTCGTGATCCACCCGTCTCGGCCTCCCAAAGTGCTGGGATTACAGGCTTGAGCCACCGCGCCCGGCCGCTTTGCCCAATTTTACTAATAGTTTGATTTAAAAAATCGCACTGTAGGAGCTCTTTGTATTTTACAGCTGTTTCTAGGAATAATTCACAAGGAAGCCATAGAAATATTTATATGGAGATGTTCTTATTTATAATAGTGAAGAATTTGAATCACTTAAATGTCAAATAATAGGAAACTAGTTAGTTGAATCAAATATGTTCATAAGGAGAAATACTGTACAACCTTTACAAAATCATGTGATGAAAAAGTATTACCCAATGTAGGGAAAGGTTAACAGTACATTTCTAAATGAAAAAGGCAGACTGCTGAACTGTATATATAGTGTAAATCTATTTGACTTTTTAAAAACTATCAATATGTGTATGCAGGGCCTAGGGAAAAAAACAGAAAAAACCTCCGTTGCCTCAGAATAACAGGGATTATATTTTCGGGTATTGGGATTCCTAGTGTATTTTTTTTTTTTTGATATATGAGGTTTTTTGTTTATTTTTTTAATCCCTAAGTTCACCTTGAACATATCTTACTTTACAATTAGGAAAAAAGAAAGATTGACTATATATATATGTATAGAAAAAAATGTTGCAAGTTTTCTAGAAAAAAAGTCAGTTATTTTTTTTGTAGTATGCATTTTTGGGGCAGTTGGTATTAATATAACATTATGCTAGGCTCTGAGGGAAATTCAAAAAGAAAACAAACACCACAGATACCATTTCAACAAATGTGGTATGATTACCATTTCAACAAATGTGGTATGATTACCATTTCAACAAATGTGGTATGATTAAGTTTTTGCTATGTGTTAGACCTCATGCTGGGTGCATAGGCTGCAGAGGTGAGCAAGAGAAGCTTCACAGTGCCTGGATCTAGTGCTTGCCTTCCAGGAACATACTGTTTAATTGATGAAATTAAGCCATGCACAGATGAAAAGGTTGGTAAGGAACATATCCAATGACCACAAGAGACAGATATAAAGTGCTGTCACATAACAGCTGGCAAGGTCCTACAGCACGTCAGTTGAGATATATGGTAGAATTCCTTGTAAATTTTAAGGTACCAAAAGGATGTGGGCTGATTGAAAGGAAAGGTTGATCCAAGCAAAGATACTGTCATGTACAAAGAAATCAAGAACTTTGTTTTGGGTTAGAAGGAGATCTAGCTGTCTGTCTAGAACAGGGCTCCCTAACCTCGGGCTTAGGTTTAGGGGGATCTATGAACCCTGAAACTATATATAAAATGTTATGTGCATGTGCCTTTTTC